AATTTATTTTAATTTCTGTTTTCAAGCTAAATGAGTTGCTTGACATGCACAACTCAATACTTGTATAGTAACAGGGTTTTTCAATGGCATATTTATAGGCCCATTCTGTATATAAAGAGTCAATTTGTTTCCACTATGTTCCGTATTATATTGCATTCTGAAGATAACGGTATCCATACAGTTTATTTCTTTGAGAATTGCAGTCCATATATTTCTTACTTGAAGGGTGAAAAGCAATTTGAAGAGATATTCATCCTGTACTACACATTTATTATGGATTTTTCCCAGGTGTAATGTAACAAAAGAGGAATCATGTATCATAGTGTATGTGCATTAACACTTGTGCTATCTATGATGATTAAAGCATATAACAGTCCCTTGCATCTTTTGCACTTTTCCCACACATTGAGAGTTTCATTCAAATCGTTTTTGGAAATCTGCCATTCTCTGATCTTTATCACACTGTAAATGACAACTCTCAGTGGGGCAAAACAGCATCCACTGCAATGCAGGGGCAGTTCCAAGATTCCCAGTGAGCAACTCCATTGCCGTTCTCTTACTGCATGTTATTCGATACGCTACACACTCATATTCTTATTCCCCATATAACCGTTTCAGACCCGTATGCCCCGAGGACTGAGAAGCAGATCCCGTTCTATAGGGGCTTCATCCTGGTGATGAGACACGGGCCATACCTCACTCTAACCGCTGCATTCCTCTTCATCACTGTCGCCATTCAGGTAAATGCAAATTTATTTAGGCAGCACTTCTCAGACATGACACTCTACGTTACAGTAAATGGAGCCGGTCCTGGATCCTGACAATGCGGGAGAACTGCTGGCGCTCAATGTTGATTTGATCAATGTAGAAGAGCACTTACTGAAAGCTCACGGTTTTAACGTCTCAGGACTCTCGAGAGTGATACAGGCCCTGCATGTTCTTCCTGTGTGTCTGTCACTTGTAGGCAGATGTTACGAGTTTAACACCTCAGGTTTAGCCCGTTAAAATTATTGCAGACTTTCCAGCTTTTGCATCGGATCTATTTCTGTATATTTTTTGCCCCTCTCATCTCCGAGGAGGTGTCAGTTGTCATCCATGTGAGCTCCGGAGTGGGAATAAATCACTGCAAAACACCGTCAGCAGCTTCTCCAGTCACTTCATTTGGCACTCAGCACAGCAAGCTGAGCGCCCAGCGACAGTGCTGAGTAGGCAAGGCACGGCTGAATATCTGAATGTTTGATCTCTGATTTCTGCAGCTGGTTCAGAGCAACTTTGTCCTCTTCTGCACTTACGCTGCCGACCTGAGGGATCACTTCCAGAACATCGTGCTGACCATCCTGGTGAGTGAAGCTTTTAGCACTGATTCACCTCACAAGCACCCAAACATCTGTAACATAGATATACACTGGTATGATTAAATGCTACGTAACTTGACTGAACAACATGAAATTGAATTCATGAATTCTTTTTTTGAAATTGAAAAACTTTTGTCACACCTTTTTTTTTTTTTTTTTCTATCACATTGGTTGACCTTTATTTGAACTCAAACAGCTTTTGGATGAATCCGTGACTTTTATGTGGTGTATTTGCACACACTCACAATCATGCTCATCGTTATCATCGTATAAACTTTGACTCATGTTCCCCATCACTATCCTTTTATTATTTCAGACTAGACTGAATCATACTCAAAACCATTCTCCTCATATATGTGTCACACTTAAATCTTCCTGTGCATGTTTACCCAGGTTTCAGCAGTGATAAGCATCCCACTGTGGCAATGGTTTCTGCAGAGGTTTGGAAAAAAGACGGCGGCTTTTTGTGGTATCACTGTGAGTACACAGTTTTTATTTTGGTTTGCCAGAGAAAGCTTTTAAAACTGTAACTCTTTGATGTTTGTGCCATCTTGTGGACAAACTCAGAAGTGTGTTTCACAGACGTAAACTTGACGGACTCAAAACATTTTTTTCTTTTTGCACGAGATCGAATGAAAGAATATTGAGCCAATGATGCATTTTAACTTCTTTCTATCCAGTGGATCATGCCCTTCACCTTGATGCTGGTGTTCATCCCTAATGTGGTGGTGGCCTATGTTGTGGCTGTCTCCTCTGGACTCAGTGTGGCTGCCTCGCTCCTGCTGCCATGGTAAGACTCCACACTTCAGAGCATATTGCCAAACCAGACTTTACTTGTATACAATCTACCAATCTAACATGAGGTGCTTTACAGAATTAAAGCGATAAAGGCAATCCAGCCAAATAAAGATAAAGGAAATAAAGGAAAACAATCCAGAAAATGAACGTAGGACAAGCCTAAAATGTATAAATAAATAGACAAATTAAAAATAAATTTAATTAAAAGCTTTTAAAGTTTGCTTTTAAAAATAATGACACTCTCTTCTGCCCTTATTATTATGAATATGGTTTAAATATTTGAGCTAAGTTAGGGGCCACACACAGCCTCCCCCAACATCTGTCACGAGATCAAATGAAACAAGAGTTTTCTTTTTCCCTGGGTGCTCCAGTTTTCTATTGCAGTCCAAAAAAAAAAAAAAAACAGCAAACTAGACAGAATGAAGACTCTATATTGACCACTGGTATTTAAATGTAAGTTAGAGTCTGTCTGTGTCAACCTTGTAATGGACGTTTTGGGCGTCTCCCTGCCATCTGCCCAGTATAAGTTCGAGGAACCCCCCACAGTGGCTACAAAGGATTAAAAGAAATAGTATTACAGGGAAATGCATTATATCCATTTATATCCATTTCTATCCTTAAAATATTAAAAATCCACAAAGCCTCTGACAATGTTTACGTAAATTCAGTCCTGCTATGTATATGTTTGTCTGTGCTGCGGCTCTGCTGCTCCGCTCATGCCAGTGCCCTTTGATTTGATGCCAAATGTCATTATTCAAACCACAATAGTGCACCAACATGCTGTTAGTGGCCACTTGGTGCCCAGACGGCTGCGTCCACTCAGCCAGTTCATGTCACGGTCATGGAACTGATCTCATTTTTTAGAATTAGAGACAGCGTATATACCTACTTATATACCTACTATAAAGCTGCTATACCATCAGAGAGCTAACACAATGCCAAAGGTAAAACCGTCTTCCTCTTTACGTCTGTTTTCCTATCGTTTCTATGGCCGACTCCGCTCCTCACTCATCTCTTGCCCCCTCCCTAAAACCCAAAATTACAGGGACCTCCCATAGGAGCATGTTTATTTTGGAAGGGGCCGATTGTTTATCCAGTCTGTGCACCAAGACCAGTGGTATCGCCCGCTGCTCATCATCTAATCGTGTTATTAGCTCTGTAATTTTAGCCCACCAGTTTATCAGAGCGCTATAAGTAGGCCTCACATCATCAGCTGCTCGCATCTTGACTGGTTGTGTAAGATGATTAAAGTAAGAGCATGAGGGAGGTCTCAGGCACACATCAGCTTAAAATTGAACCATGTTCGAGAGTGATACTGAGTATTTAAGACAAAGGACACATGCTCACAAAATCCTGCAAAAACAAATAACACAGATTCATTCAATTCTGCATGTGCGTGTGTGCAATCCAGGTCTATGCTGCCAGATGTGGTGGATGACTTCAGACTGGCCAACCCCTACTCTAAAGGCCATGAAGCCATCTTCTACTCATTCTATGTCTTCTTCACCAAGTTTGCTGCTGGCATCTCCCTGGGAGTGTCCACCCTCTGCCTTGAGTAAGTCTGCATTACTACCACACATGCACCATTAACCTACACACTGCTCGATGGTCTGTATTTGCACTTAGTGTGTCATGATACCTTGAGAAACTACATTTGACTCAGACCTGATGCATAATTCATTATGTGAAGGGTGTCGAATTTGCTCATTTGCAGCGTTGCAGCGTCAGGATGGATGTCGATTTCCTGTAATTTGTGTTTAAATGGGATCTCTCCATGTTTGTGTGTGTGTGTGTGTGTGTGTAGGTTTGCAGGGTATGACACCGGCGCCTGCAAGCAGCCTGCTCCTGTAGTGTACACCCTGAAGCTGCTGATTGGTGCTGCTCCAGTGGCCTTCATTGTTACAGGGTTAATGATCCTACTCCTCTATCCCATCAGTGAAGACGTACGGCTCAGGAATAAACTTTGCCTGGAGGAGCTCCGGTGAGCAGAAATCATAGATTTTTACCTGAGAAAAAAAACTGTTCAACCTTTAAAACAGCACATTAAGTTCAGTGCACCTGTCAGGAAGAGTAATACTCAGCCTGGGAAAACAGTTGTATAATGTCGTCTGTAGCTCAGGAGGGCACGTTGATGACATCATTAGGGTTTTTTCTTTAACCCTGATGATGGCATAAAGGTTATTTTTTCAAATGTTAGAAAGCTATCTAAACGTTTTAACGGAAAGCCTGCATTACAATCTGGGGGCACTCAGGAGGCAGTGAAGATCTAAAGAATGATGCCATTGAGTTGCATTATGGGAATTGTATGATCAGGCGTTTTTGGAGCTTGACCCATAATAGAAAAATTAAGGTCTGGATATCTCAGCCTATGCCGGTGCCATTGCCTTCAAAAGCAGAACATTTCTCTAAAATGTAGTAAAGTGGAAGTATAAAGTAGGAGAAAATGGAAATTGTCACACAAAGTACCATAAATGTACTTAGTCACTCTCCACCAGTGCTATCAATGTAACATGTTACTGATATTTGTGTCTCCCGCAGGAAACAAAGCATCAGCTCCAGAACCATGGAAGATTTGAATAACGTGTGACTTGGATCTTGAATGGAGTGAATTTCCAAAAGCCACGTATTCCAGTAACACAGCTGGAAGTTTGTTCTTTAGTGTATATTACACTGATAAATAGTTAAATTGTTTTGATGTAAACATTCTTTGTTTCATTTTCACATGTACTGTATAGTCATCTTGGATATATATAATAAGATTACCTAATTTATATAAATGAATGTATATTATTATTATTTGCTGTGTTTAGCTCTACAACACTGTTATTTATTTATAATATATAATTACAAAGGGTTGATGATATGAAATGAATAAATGTTGTAGAGGTTGGCTGGTAGACAATAAATGTGTGTGTTGTGTTTCTTTGCTAAAGAGGTGGTAGCAAAATAAAATGAGTAACATGCAAAGGAGTGCACACTAGTTATGCAAAATTTAATATTTAAAGATACACTTTTCTCTGCATATTATTCCACCTTCCATGTCAGCACTATACAGCCATGAAAGGAAAGTTTTTGTTGAGTATTGCGCCCTCCTGTGGTCAGTTAAGTTACTGAGATTGGTTGCATTCCAAACGTAAGAGAAAATGAGCTTCAAGTGTGTTTTTATGAACATTTTTTATTTTTGTAACAACTAATGGAGTGTTGGTAAATTAAGTTGTAACATTTGAGTGGGACTATTCATCATAAAAGTGCTAATCCAGGTTTTTTTTTTTGGTTTTTTACACATGAAGTCAGAATCATACACCTTATTTTCATTAGTGGAGGGGTTTCTGCTGTTCTCCAGTATCAACAAATACAAAACAAAACATTTACATCAAACATTAGCCGATGTCGGTTTTTGTGTCAGGATATCTGGACAGTCAGATTAAAACAGAACACATGTTTGACTTGGACAACAACTGCACTGTATTTTGTCAAAACAAAAAAGAAAAGTAAAATGTCACTTCTTGCGGGTAAGCTTTCATCTCAAAGCAGCAACTTGTAAACATCACATCTGAATAGGCAGCCCTTTTCAAATCACTACTGTTTTCATATACAAAAATAAATATGACGTATAACTTATTGTGTATGGGAGTTTTTTGCTCTGTCTGCATTGTGAACTTGGATCCATTCAATGATATTTAAATAATGGAGATATGGCTGTAGTCCTTAAACTGAGGAGTGTGTTAAGAAGCACTATATTGAGGCCTCTGTGCTCGTGTTGGAGTTTTGGCCGGGGGCTGGACTAGATGGGCAAGAGGTCTCTGGACTCCCAGGAGTCCGCAGGGTAGTTTTCCGCTTGCCGTTCCGCACTGTGAGCTCCTCCTTGGGCTTGAATGTCAGAGGAACAAAGCCGTCTGCGTCTGCCACAAGTACAATCCACAATGGACCTGGAAGAAGAACAGAAGACTTGTCTGCTCAGAATGGTTTTCCACAAATCTGAAAAAAAAACTACTGCCAAACCACTGAAAAATGTGGTTAGTGATAGCAGTAACTTGCTGTTGTGTCAGTTCAGGACAGTCAGTCTTTGCTACAACAGCAACAAAACACTATGCACATTAAATGGCAGTAAGCTGCTTTTGTTTAAAACCTTGTAATCTGACCTAGGCTTTTAATCACTTCCAATTATAGCTTACGCATATTAACAGAAGAACAATACTAGAACGTGTTGTAAAAGACTGTACAATTAAATTACATTCTGTATCAATTAGGGAGGGGGGGTAACGTGAAGGTTTAAAACTATAAAGGGTAAGAGTAGAGAGTTTGACTTAGATAATCTGTTCGATGACTTCCAGGTGACCTCAGTAGGGAAGCCCATCATATAAGCTTGCTGTAAATACTCATAGTAGGAAACCTACAAGGAGTTTCCTCTAAGTGGTTTTAATTTATCAACCGTGTACGTTCTCTGTCACAACACGACTAGTCTTACAGGCAATGCAACATAGAAGGTTTTAACAGGGCAGCTTGGATACTGCTTCATAGTAAAGACAAAACTATTCTAGGGTTTAAACAGAAAAGTAAAAGTAAAAGTATGTTATTTAGATTATAAACTCAACAGGCCGCACATACCATACATCATCTCCACGATAGTTAGGTTGAAGAGGTCTTGGAGGGCTTGCAGACAAAGCTTCCCATCACACAGCAGCACTGGCCTCCGCTCGTCAATGAACACATTTTCTGATAACTGCTTCTGCGTGTGCACAATGATGGAAAAAGTAAAGAAAAGAGAAACAGTCGACATCAGAGATAAATCAAAGAAAGCAAGCTGGGCGTTATTATAAACAGTAAACCAATCCTTTAATCTGATGCCATACTCAGATTTGTGTGTTCATAGCGCATTAATTGCTTCAAGGTAATTCAGTTGTCTTATCCTTAGAGTGAAAATTGCAGCTGATTAAGTCGTTTAAGCTCCTCATGCAAAAGCTACTCAAGACAGAGATTGGAGAAAGAAAGGGAATCTCCTCCTCACTAGCTAGGCTGACTTTCCCACACAATGTGATACAAACTATGTATAAATACTTAATCTACAATATATCTAAAATGTAGTGAGTAAAACTGTACCTGGCATGTGACATTGACGTAGGGGGGTTCAGAGGCATTGGGGTAGACACTCAGGGCCTTCTTGCCATTCTGGGTATAATCTCTGATCTCTGTCAGGCACTGCTGTACATCTGCAAAGCGAGTAAAAAGCCTCTCCATGTTGTGGACGAGCTGCTCCAGCGCGCGGTCCTTGGCAGGGCCCGGTGTCTTTTCAGGCATTGGCAGCGTGGGCTCGGTGTGAAGCTTGTCTGGCGGCTCGAATCGAGGAGAACTGGCCCGGCTGGAGTCTCTGCTGGCCTGGCCGGCCACCGCCAGGCTGGTCATGCGGCTGACGTGGTCCATGTCGAAATTCTCCACTGTGATGGAGGAGGCACTGGAGGTGGCTCTGTCTGATGCTCGGTCAGAGAAGTCCACAGAGCTGGTGACAGGGCTTGGCTCGCCGCTCCTCACCTCCTCCACCAGCCTCCGCCTGTTCGCTGGTGAACGAAGTACTCCCCCTCCGGGCAACACCAAGTCCTTTATCCCTGGGCGCTCCCTGTCATCCTTACATAGGTGCTCAGAGTGCCTCCTAATCCCTGCGCAGAGGTTAGAAGTGGACTCATGGTTGTGAGTAGAGGGGGGTGGTGTGATAGGAGTGTCTCCATTGTACATCAACTCTTTGGCTATTAGATGGAGAATATATTTATCTGTGTTAGAAGATGGGAGGAATGCAGGATCGTTGGACTTCTGCCTGCCGACCATCAACAGCAGCATCTTGTCATTGAGGAAGCAGACTCCTTTAGGCCTCTCGTTCGTCTGCAGAGAGATCTGCTGAATGTTCGGCATTGCGGAGGATGTGATGCAGTACACAAGCACCATGTTGCAGGTGTTGGAGGCCACTGCAACTGTGGAACCACGTGGGTCAAAAGCAACAATGTCCGGGACCAGAATCCCAGGGATGCTGACTTTACGGGTGGTGGTGACTTTGCGCTCATACGTGACCAGGATGAGGTGTGAGGAGTCCTGTCCAGAGCCTGTCAAAGTGTCTCTGCGCCGCAAGTGGATAAGGGGGCTGGGGTCAGAGCGACGGTGCCTCGCTAGGAGGTGGGTGAGATCCAGAGGACCTGAGCTGGAGATGTAGGACCTCTCTGACTCAAAGGATCTCCTCCTTGAGTCCACAAGGCTGTCTTCATCTGACATGACCACATGTGAGCCTTGGCCTTGCAGGGATGCTGTCTCTGACGTCATGTCAAAGGCTATGCCAGCATTTAACCCACAGATTTTGTCCAGAGGCAGCTCTGTGGCCACAGCTACTTGTGCCTCCCCGGTGGCCTCGATAGCACAGATGTAGCCCCCAACATCAAAGATGGGGCAGAAGGAGCAGGCCACCAGACTCTTCTGGATGTCATTCCAGATGTAAGAGTGTAGAGCACTACCTATAGCCACCACCAGGCGTGTGCCATCCTTAGTCCAGCATGCACAGTGGATGAGTCCACTACCTTTGATGTCTGCTTTGATTCTCCTGTTGTCCAGCCTGACAGAAAACAGCACAGACGTGTCCCTCTTGGTCAGCACAGCAAGCATGTCCAGTTTAGGATGCCACACACAGCCTTGGGAGAGCAAGGGGAAAGGCTCACTCATCTCACAGGTCTGAGTGCACAGCAGCTTGTTCTGCTCCAGAGCGCTGAGCTGCAGTTGCCATACGGTAACATGTTTCTTGTGCTGAACAGCCAGCAAAGCAGGGGAGTCAGAGCAGCACAGCGGGCCCCAGAAGAGCCCGAAGACATGCTCAAACTGCCCAATAACATTGGTGTCCCCAAACTTCACCTCACCATTGATGAAGTAGAAAGTTGTCAGGCAGACCTGCTTGCCGTCCGTCCATGCTATCCCATGCACAGGGTGAATAGCTTGGTGTAGAGTGTTGAGACCAGTCCTAAGCAGCTTTGCCTTACCAAGATCCATCCTGGCAGGTATGAAGAGTCTTGTTTTAAAGAGAAAAAGAAAAAAAATAGGAGTCAGAAAGTTGACATTGATGACAGAGACCTGTATCTGATCTGAATGGGTCCTGCACAAGAGTAGCTATTGCTACCTATGCAGATTAAGAATAGCAAAAGCCTCCCTCGTGTCTCCTTCCAAGTACATGCCTTAATCCCCTCTGCCTGAGCTGAGGCAGTAGTGACGAACATTTATAGCTGCTTATGCCCGAATGACCTTAACAACACACAGGTCCAGTTAGGACCTCAGGGCTTTAACAATATTATGTGTTGAGTAGGAGTGTCTCATCACAGCATTCACTCTTTTAGATCTGGTGAAAGTGACATTAGGTCATCACCTTATCAAAATGAGATTTTATTCCCTCATCAAATGTGAGATGTGCTTAGGATAGGACAAAGAAATAGATTTAAAATGAGATGCGCAAGTTACATAGAAATATAATTTTAATACTGGAGCATATTAAGTTGAATATATAAATCAAAATATGACAAATGTATAGATATATTATAGAAAATAACTGAATTCAACCTTATTGGTGCGAAGTTACGGTGGATATAGTGTTAAAATGAAGTTAATTTAAACACCATTATGAGACGCAATTTTCTAATTCATCCACACTGGAAATCGCTGGTTCACATGCATTTAGTTATCCTTCATATGTACGAGCTAATAATGAACGTCAACATCCACACAAACGTGCAATTTTACACTACGCTTACCTTAAAAATCACAACCATCTCATGTGGAATCCGTGTGAGACACTGAAAGTTGAGAGTTTCCAGTTTAGTTATGTTTATGTTTTGCCGGTTGAAATGTGTCTCCAACGTTCATTTTTATTTGACTCGGAAGCAGAACCGACTAACAAATTCGGTGCATTGTGGGATATGTAGTTGAATTACAATTGTAGTTTTTACCACTGTCCGCTCGAGGTCACTATTTGTGTTAACATCAAAAGGGGCAATGTAAGACGACTAAAATAAGTTAAATATTTGCTATGATAAAAAACTGTAACCAGTTAATTTTAAATAAACTGGCACAAACGACGGTTAATGTACTCGTTTAAAACTTGGCACCTCCGCCGTGTGGCACAAGTGTTTGACCAGGCTGAAGACGACGTACGTTGTGTAGTTGTAGATCTCGACGCTGTCTCGCTACAAACTGCAAAATATCTTGGCTGTCTCGCGGTTGGCTGCAGCTACGGGTTGGTATTGGTCGGCGAATGCATGGTTTCCACCGATATAGCCCGACTTGTAGCCGCAAAACGGGTAACATTGGTTGTCGAAAGGGCTTTTTAGATCTGTATGTGTCAGAGCTAATTTTTGAAGTAGCACAACCATGGGTGTGGAAGTCGAGACAATATCTCCCGGTGATGGTAAGTTGTTTTATCCGCTTGTGTGAGCTTTAATGCGGGGGTGGTGGTGGTGGTGTTGGGGCTCGGTACTTCCCCGGAATGTCGTTCAAATCTTGGAAGATATCAAAAATAATTTCTAAAAATACCTAGTTTAGTAGCGTAGGAGGTAACATGATTTACTCGTTAGATAGCTAGCAACTAATAGTTGTATTCGGGATATAATTAGGTGTCTGTAAAGCGCAAATCTTTACTGTGTTATTCAGCATCACTGACGCCTGCATGGCATCTTTCTAGAAAACTCCACACTTACAGACTGTTAAATGGGTAAACTCTGCTAAGCGTATTCAGCAAATGTCTTTAAATGGAGAATTTGCTCTTAAGGTAACTGTTTGACAGGGAGAAGGTATGGTCAGGTGGATCTATACGGCTCCTCGAGGCGTATTTCTCTCTGACAAATGCACCAGTAATGTAATTAGAGGCGTTTGATAGCCCCTCATCCTGGCAAGATGCCTCCAGCTTAAGTTTCAATAAAAGGATGAGACTTACAGAAGCATTATCTGACTTCAGTGTGTCTGCATGCATAAGGAGGGCATGGCATTCCTACTAGGAACACCTTAGCAGACTTGCCCCAGTCATTGCCACTGCACAAGACTAGCCTGACAGCCTCTGAGGTGTACAAACTCACAGTAACTCTTGTTTTCTCTCTTAACAGGAAGAACATTTCCAAAGAAGGGCCAGACATGTGTCGTTCATTACATAGGTAATTGACTCTTTCTTTGCTTTTGGCAACCATGAAACCAGACGTCTTTCCTGTCTCCTTGTTGACAGAGGAAATTTGTCCCTGTGTTTGTGTGTGTGTTTCTTTTTTTTCACCTTTTTGTTTTTCTGTTTTTTGTTTATACCTGTAGCACAACAGAACTCAGTTTTGCACCTCAGCTCTCACAGTGTACACAGACTGTCAGACATGTGTGCATCTGTGTGTCACCGCAGTTATAGTGGCGCTGCCACCACACCCAGAAAATATCCATTTGCCTTTGTTTTGGTGTTTCATTGTGTCAGTATCATTTCAGAGACTGTTGCAACTTGCACCACACACTCATGTAAACACACACACACACACACACACACACATACACACACACACACACACACACACACACACACACACACACACACACACACGCTTTCTTTTTCCTGTTTGTCTCTTGTCAGCTTGCCCAATTTTGAGGCGTGGCAGTAAGACTCTGAGACGTTTGGGAAATAAATTTGGGTTATTCTATGCCCCAGGGTTGGCAGACCAGACAACTAGGTCAGACAGAAAGTAAACAAAACCTGGTTCACATGTCATCAGTCTGTCTGTGTATTACAGGGTTGTTACACGGTTATAAAAGTTATTGGACTTGCCTTGACATTGTCTTTTGTAGTAAATAGGTTTGATTCAAACTTGTGGATAGTGTCGGATTGTGTGTGCACAGATGTACTGTCAATTGCCAGTTCTTGCTTGTCTCTGATGGTGGGGATTTAATCTCTATCACCTGAATTGAGTCCACATGAGTGTCTCAATTCTCTAAATATATTTATTTCTTGGCTTCACTGGCTTGCTTATAAAATTTTGTTTCATACAAGAATTGCTGCTCTGTTTGACTGGCGTGTGTGTGATTATAGCCAGAAAAATACAGGCCAATTCTGGATAACAAATGTTGTGTTGTTCAGCTTTTTTGGGGGCAGTGGAAATGGTAATCAGATTTCCCCCCTCTGGCCTGATCCTTGCAGAAGTCAGCCACTGCAGTAATGAATTATGCTATAATTGGAAATGATACATCTCGGCACGTGAAGCCGCTCTGTTGAGCTCTTCACTGGAGTCATGCAGTGAGGGTCACTTGCTCTTTGCCTGGCAGTTCTCTTTTCCTGTACCTACCAGTATTTTGGTTAGTAAATTAGTAAAAGCAGATGAGTTTTAGTCTCTACCTGCACCTCACTCCCTCTCAAGGATTATACATATTTTGGATACACTCTTAATTGTTTTTCTGCCTTTATTTCCTGTTTTCTATTGTCATTATCACATCATTGACTGCTGTTTTCTTTACTTATCAAATCCCTGAATGGAACAAAATTGGCTGCAGTCTCGTCACTACAAGATCACTAGGATGTGCTAGAGCCTGGGAATGACCTCTGTGATTGTTTATAGTGAACTCTTTACTTTAACAGCAGACAGAACAATCTTCAGCTTGTGCTCTTTATTCATTCAAATCCATCTTCTTCTTTTTTTTTTTCAAATTCCTTTTCACTTTTTGAGTCACAGGATTTACCCATAAGCTCCTGGTGTTTTGGCAGGGGTGGCATGCAAAATACAGATTTAAGCCAAAGCAAGGACCTTGCCAATGGAACACAACAAGGGCTACAAATATGTTATTGTATGAGCAGGGGAAACAAGTTTGCAATGGGTAGACAGAAAAAAATGCACTGGTATTTAAGGGTACAGCTGTACACCGTGTGAAAAAAAGACCTTAGTGTGTAACACAAGTCAGCAGATTATCTGAGGATTTGTTTTACAATAAGTAATATTTTAGCTCCAATACATGGCTCTATGTTAAGCGTATATGTACGTGTAAACAAGTCACACTGTCAGTTCATCTTGATCTCATTCACATTTTTGTCATGTTAACCTAGTGTAACTTCAGAAGACACTAAGCTTAAGCTACATTACTGGAAGTGGAGTGAGTGAGAAGGATATGAACCTTTCTCCCCTCAGGGCTTTTTGTGTCGATAATCTCCAAAAGGCAAAAATAATCCTGGAATACAGATGAAATAGTTTTCTATTTTGGTTATTCTCCTTGAATCCATGTAGTATGAAAGTCAAACTGTTTAAGATTATTTACTTGTCAGGTCAGTACGCTATAATAAAGACAGAGACTAACCCACATTTGTTTTATTTAAAAGCGCAAAGACAAGATTAGTTCAAGATCTGATAAAGGGATAGTACTGGTAATAGAGGTTAGCTGTAGATTTGGGACATAAGCCCGTCCAAGTCATCCAGCTGGCTCCACAGACTGCACCCTCCGCTGCACCCAGCACTGGTATTAGTTTTCCAGATAGCAAAGATAAACAGTAAGGCTAAGGAGAGAGTGATTTCCCAATACTAACTGGGATTTGAGACCACTGTTTGCAGCATTTAACATTAGACAGCCTCACTGTCAGAGACACTCTCTCTATGCTATGCCTGCACTACTATGCCTTTTTGATCCTCAGTTTCACCTCTGGGATTTTAAACATGCAGACACACACACATGCCAGAGCACACAGACACACAGATATGTGCGTGACCCTCTCCTGACTCTGATGAGAGTTGTGGTTGCCCAAATTAGCAGAGTGGTCATTGCCACAAGGCAGATAAGGGCCTCTGGTGCCATGAAAGTGGCAGGAAGAAATAATTCAAAAAGCTGCTCATTGTTTCAGACACATTCTTGTTTGTTTCGTGCCTGACTGGGAGTCTGTTCACAGACCAGAAGTTCTATCAGCAGTGCATCTCAGAGCAGTGTTACACAGACAAGCAGGCTGGTGTGGTTCAAGTTGGCTTGAGATGTGCTATCTATTTTACTCCTGGATTATCTTTCACTGGCCTCGCTATGCTTCCACTCACGCACACATTAGCTGCCCAGTTCAGTCAGTGTCAAATATATATGACTGGCCAGAAGCTTGAAAAGCTAATAGTAAGTTGCAGATCACAGATTTGAAGAGCTGTTAGGGATTGTGGGGTTTCCATGTCCCATGTTCAGGAGCCAGGCTGAGTCAGGAATCCAGCAATCGCAAGCTCATTTCTCTGCGTCGACTTTCACTGAAGATAAAAAATGGAAGCAGACTTGACATCAGTCAATATGAGAAAACTACTGCAGCCTGTGGGTTTCCCTGATTGATATAGTCTGGCACTAGGCTGTGATGATAAACAGTCCAGTCCACGAACCAGCAGCATGAGCTTTAGGAGCTACAGGGTCAGTGGATATGATGTCATGCCTAAATGTGGACGTCATTCCTTACCATGTTTGAGCTCCACACTTCACCATGAAACATGCTGAAGTTGAGACCTAATGGCTCTTGGTGTATGACACAGAAATAGACTGAAACACCGGGTTGTATGTCAGGGGGACGCCAAACTTGCCTTTCAAGGGAGAATGTTGTGGTTGAACGCCATGGGAAGCATTCAGTCCCAAGATCCTTAGAGTTAAAGAAAGGTGTCTGCATACAGCTTCTAAATTAGGACATAAAAAAAAAGCTTGAGCTTTTGGTAAATTGTGGTGTCCAGGTGTCCTGGTGCATTGCATCAGAGGAAGTAGATATCCATGTTTTCTCAACAGATACAGCTCAATTATGGATGGGAATTTATTATAGACCTCACTTCAATATTGGCACCCAAAGCAGGAATCCCTTGCCTTCGAGTTGTCTGTGTGTTTGAAAGGCTTTTCAGAAAAGACGGGACAGGAATATGAGGTGAACAGTGACAGTGACTTTACAGCACATGAATAATTATCCAGCAAACCCTGCTGGTCCTCGGAAGAACCAGGACGAACCAGACGCCAGGACTAATGATAGTATGCGAGGAACCTTTAAGCCACTGCTGTATTTCAGGCTATCAATGCTCTAGCGACAGATTTGCTATTAATTGTCTTTGCTGAAAATACTCCCAATTACACATACTTCCAGTTTGATGTATTTGGTATATTAGTGACGCGTGAGCAAGATTTTATTCTTTCCATTGAGACGTACATGCTTGCAGCTTTGAAACACGGCAACACATACAAGTTTGTCATAGACAGATAGCTTTACACGCATCTCATTTCATCCACACTTGGGCCGAGGGGGTTGTTGTGCTGGCAGGCGTCCTAGACGGGGCTGAGACAGGATACAGTAAGCTGAGTAAAAATAACCCCTCCCCTGTGCACTACAGCTTTTTGCTAATCTAGCCAGAGCGCTACCAAGTGAAAGCCTCTCATGAAGAGAGAGACTCTGCGAGCCAGCCTCAGGAAGGGACGAGTCCTGCTTTACTTTTGCAGAGACCCCACCCATGCTTTGCTGTCCAAAGAGTGATAACGGAGCAGTGATAAAAGTGGGGTTCAGGAGTAGTTTTGGATGTCTTTTCTTTTCTGTAAGATAAAGCCTGACAGCCATGACTGAAGCATTCTTGCTTAGCTCTCTTCACGTACATGTGGCAAAAACTGAAGGCAGCATAGTACATAACATCTTATTTATAACATTTTACATGTAAACTGTAGACTTTAGTGAAATTTTGGAAACATATCTCTCCTCAGGACAATGCTTCTGTGTATTTCTCCACTTGAAACATGGAGCAGGTGGAGTTTTTTTCCTCCTATTGTGTTTTTTTTCCCCCTTTTTTTTTGGTTTTGGCCAGGTGCCAGTGTGTACCACAGTCCTGTTGGTGTTAACTCCTCTGCTGCTCTACCAGCCTCCTCCAAAACACTTGGAGTTGTTAGCTGCTGCTTTTTTATGTAACAGTGAGAAGTCTTTACCAAAGGCACGCAAAGTGTGTAGATGTATAATATATTCCCTATGTCAGCAGCCTCTCACCAGACACGCCAACCAACCTGTAGGACTCATAAGTGCAATGCCTAGAATATGATCCCTCACTGGCTTCCCACTTGTGAACATTGCCAATCAGTGTTTCCTTGCAAGTTGAAGGCAACGCTGCCAGAATCTGAACCCACTTTTCAGCAGTTGATGCAAGAAGTTTTTGCCTCTCTGCTGCTTGAATGCCCTGTAGCAGGTGGTATTCGCCTTGGTGTGTGTACTTGGTGACTCCTTGGTTGGACCCGTCCCAGCCCACTGATATCTGGGCTACTGTGATTCTTGGAAATGGTGGACCTACTAAGTTTAGGGGGAATGAAAGGGGAGAAGGAGTACAGTACCAACATTCATATGACTAGATGAGCCAGACACCATTACTAAACTTAAGTTAACACACAACTTTAAATGCCAAGTATTCACACTTGTTGAGGTACTACACAGAACAATAAATCAATGGACCATCACTGGGCAACCAGACAAAATGAAAGTGGATGTTGTGGAATATTTTTTGCTTGACGCTATTTTGACTGAACTAGGGTTAAAAAGTTGATTCTTCCTTTTACGAATTGGAGATATACATACAATCTTCAATCATGTATATATATTTTATGTCACAATATTAAACTATGCCATACTATAGTTGCAGTATAGTTTCCGGGAAACATCCAGAATGGCAACTCTGTTTTTGGCTAATGCATGTGTATTTTTTGTTTTTCAGGTTGCAAGTTTTTGTCAAGCATTATATCTCACATGAGCACCACGGCTAAAATGCTCACAATCCTCACTATTGTTCACTTAAATTTAGATATTGCTTGTTGTGCACAGGAAATAAACTGCTGTGAGGTCTGAATCGTTGTGGAGTTGCTGTCTTGGCTGTTGAAAGGGTCAGAAAGTTCACACAAGTTATCGGGGTAACAGAGCATCGCTTCAGATGGCAGCTTGGATTCCCTCAAGGGAAAGTGGCAAAGAGGAGATCAAGGAGGGCATGTTAAAACCGCTAATGAAATGGGTCCAGTGTTTCCATGCCCTTAGTAGTGTTTAATGGCCCCAGTATTATTATCATGCCTGAATGGCTGGTCAGTGTTCTGAAGGAGCACAGTCCTGCGCTGCTCCGCCTTTGTTACCCCTTTCTCCCTGTGGTCTAGATACAGGCAAGCAATGGCCTAGTTAACTTTAAAAATAATCCACTAAACCAGGCCATTGCTTCCTGATTCACATTCCCTTTGTTCATTTGGGTAATTGAAACAGACCCAAGATCCTGATAAGAAACCCCGCCAGAATAATTCCTCAGACTGGAGCCAGCACTGCTTTATTCCTTTAATCTCAAAATGCGTCATTCCAAAACATTAGCAACTGAAGGAAGGGCCTGCATTGATACTGCATCACCCTGGGATAAATGTCGACAATGAGTTAAGGCTAGGCACAATACTACTAGTCATAGGAGCAGCTTACTGCACAGGAAAGCAGTTATACAACATAGGCATAAAAATAAGTGTGCCCTTAGTCTTTACGTTGTATCATTTCACCAAAATAGGTTGTTTATTTATCAAATGCTTCTCTACTCTCTGAATTGTGTTGGTGTCATTTCTCTCTGGCAGGTATGCTGCAGAATGGGAAAAAGTTTGACTCCTCTCGAGACAGGAACAAGCCCTTTAAATTCAAGATTGGACGGATGGAGGTCATCAAGGGCTGGGAGGAAGGAGTAGCACAGGTAAGAGGGAAAAGTTAATGCAGTGCACTTCTTTGACACTTTGCATTACTGCATAATATAGTTCAGCACCTTGTGACTACAGCGGCAAGTCTAATTATTCATTTATGCCTGAGATGTTTAAAGAGACCGTGAAAGTGAGCGCAAAACCCCTTCGGCAAACTGGGGCAAAGATTTTGTAGTGATGCCTATATTTTGAGCTTGAGCTGTTTTGTCAGTTGTAAGAAGCAACTGCTTTTACAAAGTACTACTGTTTTTTGTAGTGTCAGTGCTATTTTGTTATGCATTATCTGAGTTTAATCATCTGACTCAAGATGACAAGACTCAAATCTTGAACTGAGTTTTGTTGTGGCACTGTGAACATACCTGTATCTCAAGCACGTCTCCAGTCTCTGCCGAAAAGAAACTATTTGTTTTCTCAAAAGTATGAAATTATGTATCTAATTGGTCTAAAAGATGCAAAGTCATCATTTTCAAGGCCCTGCAGAATCACATATGTGATTTCAGTTATTCTGTCATTAATCAAACTGATTAGACTACTACTCCTCTTGAAGTTGAATGGAGGCATGCAGGGGATTGATTGAGATCACTAAACTCCTTGAGCTATTTGGGCTTTCTTTACAGACAACATTTTGCCACAATAGGAAAAAGCACAGGTGTAAATAAAAATTTGAAAAATGAAATGCATGAAAAAGCACATCAACAGCATACTCAGCTGTGTTTTTATTTTCTCTCGTGCTTCAGATGAGCCTGGGCCAGAGGGCTAAAATCACCTGCACACCAGATATGGCTTATGGAGCGACAGGCCACCCCGGTGTCATCCCCCCAAATGCCACGCTTATATTTGATGTGGAACTGCTCAAGTTGGAGTGATGCCTTGGGTTAAAATATGAAGGCTGAAGGTTAATGAGGTTGCATTCGCCACACCCTGTTTCCACAGGGTGCCGCCTCCCACCATCCACCTACTCATCTTTGATTTCTACAGTCTTCTTCAGTTCAATATTTAAACGTATCTACTGCTGCTTTTGTTGCCATCATTGTCATAACAGATACTGCAAGAAAATTTTCACATCATGTAAGACTTTTATACACACCACATTTTGGTTTGTTAGAGATGCTTTTTTTGTTTAAGTTCATTTAAAGTTGTAAATTTTGTTGAACCAAGAGGAAATCAGTCATCTGATGAAAAGCCGTACTACATTGCAATCGAAACATACTGCCTTACAGTTTCAACAACAGAGGGAGGGTACATGTGTTGAAAGTACAATACTTCTGCTCTGTATATTAACTGGGCATTATATACCACTGTCTGCATTGCCACTTTGATAAAGGTTTGTCCTGCTGAATGCTCTGAATGATGTTGCTATGTTTAGTATATTTTATATCCCTCATAAACATTTACTGCAAGTGTACCCTAACCAGTCTAACCCGGTCCAATACTGTACAGAACTCTGTAAGAGCCATTGCTACTGCTGTCACAGTTTATCGACCAACTCTTGAATAAAAATGGCATGTACTGTGTTGAGAAATCTGCGCCCTGTGTGTAATTTGTGACTGAGTGATTGACTGATAATAGAAGGAATACTGAAGGAGTTACGTTGTGTTTGACAGGGGCTTCTGCAGGAACATTGCCTCCTAGTGGCGAATTTTACGTAAGCGCACACCAGCTCAGTAAACTATGACTGAGCGTTAATTCTTCATACTACTAGCAAATAATGTAGTATAAGCACTGACTAATACGCTGTCTCTTGCCTACAAGGCCAGTGGTATGCATCAACGCCAGTAACATTTCGTAATTAATTACAAGAACACAGTTGTCGAATGTGTAAATAACGATTGGCATTGCTTATCTCTATGAAATTCAACAATCTTGGCTTTAATATTTACTTCCGGGGTCCTAGGTCGAAGTGTGTCCACTGACTCTAACATGCCATTGGCCGACTGCTGCTGTTGTGAAACTTCATTGGATAGACGGTTACACGCCTTCTGTCAACCTGAAAGAGCACAACAGAAGACAAGGTCAGAAAAGTATCTTAAAATATGTAAATATGAGCACTGTTAAACATAAAGCGGCTGTAGAATGTCTCAAGTTAGCGGCATTGTTTTGGTTCCTCCCGCTAATGCTAACACATGTAGCAAATCAGCATCTACGGCTAGCTAACAGTCTTAGCAGCCAACCAACAACCGTAGCTTAGTTAACGTTATTCCAACATTCACTTGTTTTGTCTTTCTGTTTTCTTTTTTTTTTTTTTTTACCGAGAATTAGAAAAGCCATATGGTCGCCAGCACTGATTTAATCATCCCGTTACTTTGTGACTTCTAGAGAAGATGAGAAACGTGTCGTATTTGTTTGTTTGGTAAGATAGTCGAACCACCACAATGCTACAAAGTAGCTAACATTTTCGCTATTGAATTTTTAAAATGTAGTCTGTCAAGCGAGAGAGTAACTAACACATGCTGCTAGCGTTAAACACGCCCAAACTTGTACGAATTATGTACTGCAGTGTCTCTTTTGTACTGTAAGTACGTTGGCTAAAGTTGTTTCATATGGTTTCCGTAGTGTTGTAAGAAGTTATCGCTCGTTTACATGTTTTCTTGTCGCTCACAGCCCCACCATGACTTTGTTTTGTCTGTAACAGGTCGTGGTGGCGCCACATTATGTTACTAGTAGGCCTTAAAGTAATGATCCACCAAAATAAACTGTAGAGGGTGTCAGCGATCAGCTATTTTTTACTTTTTTATAATGCATTTGTCTTTGTAAGAAATGCTTCTTGATTGATATTCATGCCTAACTGTTGACTGTCTGCTTGAAAACCCCAGAAATGGTCATATATGAAGCAATGCCTTTGCCTGGGATCAAAAATTACAATTATATAACATCTGTTTCTTAATGTCTACCTTAGGTGATCCATGTGTGTCTGATTGAGCCAACAGTAAGCATGCTGACTGCACAGAGGGCATGTGCAGCAATGGCTGCCCGGCGCCTGGTTAGAGCGTCAGTCTCCTCAGCACACACACACCGCTCTCTGATCCACACTTCCATACCATGGCAGGACCAGGTTGAGCTTCACTCTGAATGGGCCAGTCTGGCTAAGAAACAGCTTAAAGGGAAGAACCCAGAGGATCTGATCTGGCGCACACCAGAGGGACTCAACATCAAGCCTGTGTACACTAAAGCAGACTCAGCCCGTGGTGCTGATGAATTGCCAGGAGTGTTTCCCTATACTAGGGGGCCCTATCCCACCATGTACACTTACAGACCGTGGACCATCAGGCAGTATGCTGGCTTTAGTACTGTGGAGGAGAGCAACAAGTTCTATAAAGATAACATTAAAGGTAGAGTTTGCTGTGTACATTTCTATTTTTAGTAGAAACACTATAAATTCAAACCTACTGTGCAACATAAGTTGAACATCCTCTCATCCTGTAATGGCAGATGTTGTGTTTTGTTAGACACAAATTTGTGACACATCAGAACCCTACACTTAATTTGATGTACAGTATATCACACTCCCCACTGATGCCAAGCGCCCACTGAAATGTTTTATTTTACTAGATGCTACGCTTTGAATCACACAGAATAATTAGAAAACTAGATTTAAAAGATGGAACAACTAAAAACACAGTGGCATTGGAGAGTCATATATGTATGTGATTACTACATTATATATGCAGAAACTGTATGAAGAGTTGTAACCTTTTAGGTCACCATAGCCTGCAAGGGCTAACCACAAATACAGATGATAATTAGACTTAAATGTCATTTCATTTCGAGCGCGTCAATTAAGATGTCTGAAATGAAGGCTGCTATGTTTATTCCCCAATGAGTAATTATTATATGTTGATCTCCTCCAATAATTAGTAAGGTGAAACAACCAAAAGGAAAATGGAGGTCAACTTTTACTGTGAAAATCAATGTAACGTTGTTACAGTGGGCCTCACAAGAAGCCATTTCTAAAGTTTAAAACTGTTGAGATTATAGTGAGTCTAATCACCAGACAAATTATTGTAAATAGAATTTTTGTGTTGACAGTGCTTGTGGACTGTCAGTTTGCCAGTAGCTGGAAGCAGCCGTTTAATACAGTCATTCATTGCTTAAATCCCTGTGTTAAGTCTTTCAGCAATTTTCTGCCATTGCCATGGTTGTGACATTGATTCAGAAGCTGCCTGCACGTTTTATATACTCTGCAGAAATGTCTGCTGATGTTTTCAGCAATGTGTTCCTTAAATTGTCTTTCAGATCTCATCTATAATGCTACTCTAATAATCCTTTTCCCATCTCTGAGCCACTATTTTTTTTGCTCCCTCATTTCAGCTGGACAACAGGGTCTCTCCGTGGCTTTTGACCTCCCGACGCACCGTGGTTATGATTCAGACAACCCCCGAGTCCACGGAGATGTTGGCATGGCTGGAGTCGCCATAGACACAGTTGAGGACATGAAGATGCTTTTTGATGGAATCCCTCTGGAGAAGATGTCTGTTTCAATGACAATGAATGGAGCAGTTATTCCTGTATTGGCTATGTTTATTGTGACTGGAGAGGAGCAGGGTGTACCTAAAGCCAAACTAACAGGTACAATTCAAAACGACATTTTGAAGGAGTTTATGGTACGAAACACCTATATTTTCCCCCCAGAGCCTTCAATGCACGCCATTGCAGACATATTCGCTTACACCTCCAAGGTATGTACCTGCTATTCTGTTCATCTGCAGTATATACTGTTTCAAGTTTTTAACATTATATAATGCATTATATTTTTGTTGATTTACTGACTTGGCCATGTTCACAGCACATGCCCAAGTTCAACTCGATATCCATCAGTGGCTACCACCTTCAGGAGGCTGGAGCTGATGCCATCCTGGAAGTGGCCTACACCATCGCTAATGGCCTCGAGTACTGCCGCACCGGTCTGAAAGCAGGCTTAACCATCGATGAGTTTGCCCCAAGGTACAAAATATTAACATATCTCTGAGTGTGGAGGCCACAGATTTTGATTTACATGTTTGTTGCTTACAGCTACAATGGATCATGTAATTTCAAATATTGTTTCTTTACACATTTCCACAATAAACACATTGGAAAGGCCTTGGTAATATCTCAGAAATTCTGTAAGAAGATAAACGTGGTTAAATATGCTTAAATAAATATAAATTAAGAATATTTTTTACCAAGCAACAAATGTATTTGTAATAACATTAGAAAGGTTTTAAGAATTAGAAATGTAATTTCTGAAAAATGTCTTTTCATTTCTTGTGGTCTACTTTAACATGTACACCACATTTGATTCACGCTTAAATCGTAGTGCTATGTCACCTCATAACATCATGACAATACCCAATATATTTATCACACATTAGATACACATACACAAATATGCCTACTAGGTATAGTAAATGTGACATTGTGTGTTAATGCTGGATTATGATATGCTTAAATTGCCACAGTTTATTATTGAAAACTGAAAGGACAATGTTCACTAGATGTATAATTGTTTGCAATTAAAGCTTCACACAAGTGATAAATGTGGTGTTTACATCCAACCAGTAACTTTATTAATTAAAATGAATTGGCTGGTCTGATAAGTGTGTCTTAGTTCCAAATATAATGATCAACAGATAAGATATAAGTAATTAATTGGTCCATTTGCTAGACTACTTTTTTTTTTTTTGTAAATGTAATTGATGAGCCACTGCTCACCCAAATAATGACACATCGGTGTCTTGTTTGAGAGCAGGAACTTGTGTAGTCAGTCAGTAACTCCTCAGTTCAGTATGTCACTCAGACACTAACTAAATATCCTGTTAGTGGAGAAACGCTCATGTACTTCACCACAGCCACATTTGTTCCATCTATGATGTCTCTATTAATATTCCACGAATACTATGCACCCCTTTATTTGTTGAAGCAGCAGATGGGACTCACAGACAGAACCAGCATACAGCTAAAGCCAGGTGGAAAGGCTGCTAGTCAAATTAAACAATTCCTATAGCTACTACAGCCCACAACTCAAAGTGTGTCAATTAGATATAATGTAATATATCATATAAATGAAGTAAGGAAGAATTAAGTTGGGCAAAGGTGTTACATACTTTATATGTTAGTTTGACCTGTTTAACATAGTTTAACTACTCATTTCTTTAGGGGATAAACAAAGTTGTGAGTTACCCATAATGCATCTTTTATACTGTGATTCTCTTTGGCTACATTCTTTTCTGATAACTTGATATTAATTGTGATCTATAACGTACAGCTGCCGTAAACAGCACATGGGTTGTTTTTTTTTTAAGTCAATTGCGCCTCTGCACTCCCTCACCAACTCCGCACTCGGTGCAGTTCCTGTCCCTTGCATCGTACTTTCATTATCTCCTCTTCATGTGTCCTTCAGCTGTTTTTTTTTTTTTTTTCCCTCTGCCTTTCAATCACGCAGATAATAGCAGAGTTACATGGGCATGCTGTCTTCAGAAACATCCTGACAGTCGTGACCCTTCTCCACGTAATGACTTCAGAGACAGACCTTACAGACAGTCACTCTAAATCAATCTAGAGATGTCACTCAATTGTTTGAAATGGAAGGTTTTCCACCCTCTGCCATTATCTTTCTCTACAGCTGATTGTTCTTGACTCACAAACCAATGACAGTGACAAATGTGACTGTCATGTTACATTTTGGACATTAAAGGTGCCATGGTGGTTAGCATTCAGTGTATTGTCAAATTGTGTTTTACTGTATTGAATTTCTGCAATACAGTAAAAGAATGAAGGTTAGAAATTTGTATGATTTCCTTGCAAGAGAAAGGCACATGCTCTATCGATTTCATTTCCTTTTAAGCAATATTTTTTGTTGAGCTGAAACAGATAATGGATTCATTTATTCAGCTGCCAAACATAATCTGATTGCAGCTTCTCACATTAGTGGATTTGCAGCTTTTCATTGTCATTTATCACTAAAAACTGATTACCTTTAGGTTTGTGAGTGTTGGTTGAACAAACAGGATATTTGAGGATGTCACTGTGAGCTCTGGGAAGTTGTGATGGGCATTTCCCCCCTTATTTTTCAAAATTTCATAGACTAAATGATTAATAGATTAATTGAAAAAGCAATCAGCAGACTCGTCTATAATGAAAATAGGCATCAGATCATTCGATAAATTAAGTAAAAACATTGCTATGGTGAATAGAAAAGATCAAGAACAAGTGTGTGAATTCATTAGGATTCATTCAATCTTGGCTGTAAAACAGCATCATGATCACTTTGGTCTGTTGTCTTCACATGGCTGATTGCTGTCCACTTGACCAATATTGTTTGAGTTCAATGTAAATACAAATTGGCCAATACCTTTTTTTTTTAACTCTTTTTCCATAAATGCATCAAAAAACTCTTTTTTTCTTTCTTTTTTTTTTTTTTTAAAGAATAACACCAATTTGTTTTATTGTTTTAAAGACTTGTTATTGTGATATTGTGCAGTTAGGCTGGGCTTATACAGTCAGTTGCATGTATAAGCCCAGCAGATTTATTGCTCTATCTTTAGGACCTTAGTTCTTGGGCAGTTTGGCCAGTTGTGGAGTCCGTGTGGATGATGATGGGTGGGAAGGGCATTACGGACTGAAAGGTTGCTGTACAATGCTTCAGCCTTAAACTAACTAGAGTAGCATCACAACTTCTTGTGTCATGGGTTTTGTGTCAATATGGCAGTCTGTGACTATCTGGTTGTTAGGTTACTGGCATTGGGTCTGTACAAAATATCTCTATGAGCAGAAAACACTTGATTTCTATTTTTGTGCATAATTATAATAGCATAATAATTGATATCGGTTACATTTAATTCTGTCCATTTTAATAACAGACTTTATTTCTCTTTCTTTAATATTTATGTTGTGTGTGTGCCGTCAGGTTGTCATTCTTCTGGGGTATTGGGATGAATTTCTACATGGAAATTGCCAAGCTGAGGGCAGGCAGGAGATTATGGGCCACACTCATTGAAGAGAACTTCCAGCCCAAGAATGCAAAGTCTCTCCTGCTGCGCACACACTGCCAGACTTCAGGCTGGTCTCTCACCGAACAAGTACATATAAGTCGTTATAAGAATGATATGAAAATGTGAAAATCAAATCTAAACCTGTTAAATGAATGGACAATAGTTACAACTTTCCTCTTTGGTTCTCACTCTTGTAGGATCCATACAACAACGTGATTCGAACGGTGATTGAAGCCATGGCAGCTGTGTTCGGGGGGACCCAGTCACTCCACACTAACTCATTCGATGAAGCTCTTGGCTTGCCCACAGTGAAGAGCGCTCGCATTGCCAGGAACACCCAGATCATCATCCAGGAGGAGTCGGGCATCCCCAAAGTCGCTGATCCCTGGGGTGGTTCGCACATGATGGAGTCTCTCACGGAGGACGTCTACAACACGGCCCTAAAGGTTTGTCATGGGGACAAATGGGCATCTGCCTCGGCCTCCTCTGAAAGTAATGAGAGGAGGGTTTTAATTAATATTTTACTCCTTTGCAAATTTTTTCAGCATAAACTTACCCATAACACATAGCTAAGGGTTAATTTAACTCTTTAAAATCCTTGCTTAGAATATATTTTTTTTAGAACCACGTTGTCTTGTGCCTACCTGGTTTTAGTGAGGTAAATATCATAATACATGAAGTAAAATGACGACAGAAATAATCCGTCATCATAGACATTCTTTCACAACCTGTGTTTTCCTTTGTATAGTTCATCAAAGACATTGAAGATATGGGAGGCATGGCCAGAGCTGTGGCAGAGGGTATTCCAAAACTACGCATTGAGGAATGTGCAGCACGTAGACAGGCCCGCATTGACTCAGGTACTGTATAAATATATCAGTTGCTAATGGCCTTAAAGCCTCTTATTCTTTGATCTTTTCATCTTCTTCCTCTGCTTTAAGTACTTAATACTCTCTACCTCTTAACTTAACTTTGGTCTCTATGTAACAACGATGCAATGAACTTTACACATCTAATAGAGGTTACAGTTTTGACATTAAGTGAATGTACAGCTCCTTCATTCTGTGTGATATGGTCACATTTCTCACCAAATTTGGCGTGAAATGTTTAATTTATCAGTCTAATCTTCCCCAAATAGAGAGGGCTTTTTTCTCATGCAGGTTCAGATGTTATTATTCTTCCTTTGTCTGTCATTTTTAAGAAACTACAGAGTTATTACACACCCAGAGAGTCCTGCTTTTGAGGACTTAGGCCCAGACCACACTGCCTGCATGCCTGGAAACTGTGGAACGTCTTGGTTTTCATTTTGGCGCCCATGTTAATGGGTTAGAGCAGACACACTGTCTGTGTGACACTGTCACGTGATCCACAGATTCACTGTCTCACCTATTTTTCACACATGACCTGCGCAGTTCCCAGGAATAATACACAGAGAAAACATCTGTTGATAGTGATATTGACATTATACCAGCAACATTTACATAAAACTGACAGCTTTCACTGTAAGCTGTATTTAAATACCAGACAGACATGCAAAGATATAAATATTATATTTTTTGGAGAGCACATGTACTACATCGTCATAGAGGAAACTCAGGGCAGACTAAAATGATGTCTATAATTTAACTGTGAAGTGCAATGTTTTACTAGTGCCTGCTTTTCTCTCTCGCTCTCTCTCGATGTGTGTGTGTGTGTGTGTGTGTCTGGCTCTAAACGAGGGCAAATAAGTTTAACACGGTTTATAATGAAAAGAAATCCAACATTAGATTGTTGATGGCCACGTCCAAGGTAAATTCAATTTGAAAGATAGAGCTGGCAGCAGCAGCGACGCACCAGAAGAGCAAGTGGTATGAATACGCACGTGTGTGAGCCGCAGCAGGCCAGTGACACAGCCGCCATGCACACACAAAGCATGCAGTTTGTCCTGAGCATTAAGCAGTTGAGATTTTCACTATGCTCTATGTTTTTTTTCTTTCTTTTCCAAAGTGATGTAACATGGTTCTTGCTTTGCTCTGTAACACACTTACACACTGTATCCTGCCTTTTAAAACCCCTTGATGTGGTCTTAATACTCTGTAGAGTCTAAACATTCAATCTGTGGAGGTCAGTGCTCTTTACTATGATTAAGCCTTTAAAAAAAAAAGTAGTTTTTTATTTAAGCTTATTGTAAGTGACCCCAAAGACTGGTTTAAAATGGATGCTTATACTGCAAAGCAACCACAGGTGGATAAGGAAAGCAGCAGATACAAGGTCATCTCATAGCTTGAATCCAGCTGACCCTGTGTATTTTGTTGTGTTGTTTGAGGAGATGTGTCTTTACTTGTGTCGGGGTGTTACCCGGGAGTTTAATTGAGGTTTCTTTGTATAGTTTTGAAACGAACATTAGCTTTTGATGTGTAACTTCAGAAATGACTGTGATGGAGCAGAGCAGAACCTTCACAGACTGGATAGCTTTTCTCCATAATCCCCCTGATGCCTGCTCTCATTGATATTCACTGGCTTTCTGATTCACCCCGGCAGCACATCTTTACTACTGACAGTTTTTTTTCACTTCTGATGGGCCGTGAGTTCTGATTGACCATGTTAGGCTCTCAGATCATTTTCAGTTTTCCTACACAGAGGTCAAATTTTAAGATTATATGCGATGGGATACTTGGAGAATATAGAGAATTAAAATCTTCTCTAAAGGCTACTAATATGATAACAATTAAATAGGTTTCAGTGGGAATAACAGGGAATTCAGTTATCTTAAGATTCCTCAAATCCTGAACTTACCTGTATGTTAATGTGTGTATTACATTAATATTCAGTGAGAATAACTTCAGACATACAGGAGGGTAGGTGTGTAAAAGCATGCATTCTGCTGTCTTGTACTCCAGGATGATATTGCAGATCTAAACAGGTTCGCTGACATGGGAGTTTTCTTTTAGCATACTTTTTGATTTTAATGCTGTGCAGTTGCATTTCTGCGGATGTTTGTTTTATACATGGATAATAAAAAGTTCTTCTTTCTGCTCCCTCAATAACAACCTTAAAAAGATGTGCACAAATATGTGTTTTCTGTCGACACAACACAACGCTGTGTTTGTGTGTTTGTTTTTCTCGCTGATTCATGTACCTGCACAACTTTTGTCCTTTTCTTTATAGGATCAGAAGTCATCGTCGGCGTGAATAAGTACCGTCTGGAAAAAGAGGAGAGTGTAGAGGTGCTGGCCATAGATAACACTGTTGTACGTCAGAAACAGATTGAAAAACTGAAAAAGGTCAGTGTTCCTTTTAGAGTCGACTTCTAGATGAACGAGTGGTATCTAAAGGATAAGTGTTTTTTTCCCTTCGTTTTTGTTCAAAGAATTCCACGAGTAAAACCACAGGTTAAAGCATGAAAAGACAACAAAACTTTGAATGAAACTCTGATAGTCTCACAGTTTGTCCATGCACTTTAACCGTATTGCCTACCTCTGTTTATCCACACACTGTAATTCTTGCCTCCACCTGACTGCAGGGTGGAGGCCGACCTGTGTGGCAACCTATCTCAAGTTTTATTGTGAAGTTGGTGACTGGAGGACTATGGCTCTACATGGGCTTGCATATATGTGATTCCAATGCAGCGCTTTGTGGCATTTGTTGCAGCAAAAGTTTTTTGCCACATGACGCATTTTTTTTTCAAACCACGATTACAAGACAGAAAGTTGTGTAGTGTGAAAACTGTACTGACAACTGGTGGCTTTGAAAGTCATGTAGTGTGGACATAGCACAAGGCACATGCTTGAAGCAAGAAAAGGAGCTTTGAACTTTGCACAAATGCAGATGACGAACTGTTGTCGTCGTCTGACTTGAGGAAGAGGAAGACAGTGAAGTGTTTAGACTGTACGACATAATGGCTGTTAGTAGAGTTAAAACAAGATGACTGTCAGTCAGTCAGAAGTCAGTCTGGAGAAGTGAAACATACATTTTCATCACTGTATGCAGAATTGAATGTAAGATAGGCTTCACCAGTGTGTTGACAGTTTTAAGCAGTTTTACACAGTGATTTGAGGTGTTTGTATGTGTGGTGCAGACACTGTAGCTCATCTTCCAAGGCTGAATCACAAACATGCCTTATTTATATCATGTCCAGGTGATTATGCATTGCAACATCATTTAAAGTCACTGTAGGTCCAGTGCCTGGGGCTTATGGGGGACTGGGCTGTACTGTAGACAGCTGTAAGGTAGATACATAGTATGATTGCTGCAGCTGTTTAGGAATAAAAAAAAAAAAAAATCAGGCCATTTTAACTCAGCTCAAAGTCAAGGCTGTATAGTATTTATGATTGGATTTTCAGTACTTTTTGAAAATGATAAAATATTATCATTGCTTACTATCAGAATACATTTCTACCAAGCAGACATTTAGACAAGCACGGGTGTAACTAATAACAAAATCCAGTATCTGCTGTAAGAAAAGTTGTCAACAGAGCAGATAAACATTCTGAATGACATGTTTCTGTCTTGTTGCCTGTTTTGTTTCAGGTGAGGGAAAGCCGTGACCCTCAGGCAGCGAAGAAGTGCCTGGCAGCCATTGAGGAGTGTGCCCAAACCAGAGAGGGCAACCTTTTAGCCCTGGCCGTGGAGGCAGCTCGAGCCAGGTCAAACCTCTCACTGGCACTAAAATCACAGATTGTAATGATCACTCTTACATCTGCATCAATTTAGCTTCACATGCTATGCTAATGTAATTGTCATAGTGCTTCTCCTTCTCTGATTTTCACCGTCTCCATAATTCAGATGAACTCTAAGAAGATGTTACATGCAGTGGGCACATAACCATAACCATTAGCACCCGTGTGATCTTGTTTTGCCCACATTCCATATTGTAACATGATCATCATCTTGATCATTGTGGTATTTTTCTTGAAAGCTTGATTGTTAGTGGGAAACCTTGAGCAGTATGTTTGTGGTTAATATTTCTTCATACCTGGGGCTGTCATGTGGCAGTTCATTAAACAGTCACACTAAATCAGGAGGGGTTGCAGGAAAGAGGGTTTTTTTTTTAGGCCCACACATGTGGTTAAACTAGTTTAGATACTGATACTGTTAAGCCCGTCTTGAGAAAAGAAAGATCTAACAGAATTTTTTTTTTTCTAACTGTGCAGCGCTGTGTGAAGAGCCCACATGCTGATTACAGCCCACCTGCTGAGAGGCACTGGCGTGGCATGACCAGATTATTTAACATCTCAACTCTCACAATAATCTACAGCCACTTAAACATCCCATGCTCTTTTACTACCATTAGACCTTTAATCCATCTAAATATAATGTGCTGTCTGCTCTGGTTTTACCACAAATGACTGAGCTATTTTCACTTCAACCGTTGACTTACAAATAACGCTGAAGTAACTTGATTGTTGCTGTCTTATTACCCTTGCAGTGATATTGTGGGAAATGAGATTACAGTAAATCTTTCTGCCATATGATGCAGATACTAATAAGGCATCAAAACAGACCATTAAGCAGGCTGCCAAAAATCGTGAAACGTAATTAAACAGCAAGCAATTTAGTGTTTAGTAGTAATATTTCACATTCAGTAGCAGTAATTGAATGGGATTGTCTTAAAATGAGTGATTGCATTGCATTATTTATCATTGGAATGTGAAAACACATTGTTTTCTCCTTTCTACAGATGCTCTGTTGGTGAAATCACTGATGCCATGAAGAAAGTGTTTGGCGAACACAAGGCCAGCACCAGGATGGTGAGCGGGGCTTACCGCAGCGAGTTTGGGGAGCATGAAGAGATTGCCCTGACCCACAACAGGTAGAAAGTAACACATAACAGCACCTGGATCGTCATGATAGACAGGTTAATTTCTTGTATTTCAGGTAAATAAAAAGTTTCTTTTTCTCTTTCAAAATCTCAGAGTTGCAGATTTTAAGAAGCACGAGGGCAGGAACCCTCGACTGCTTGTGGCAAAGATGGGCCAGGATGGCCACGACAGAGGAGCCAAAGTCATTGCCACAGGGTTTGCCGACCTGGGCTTTGATGTGGACATCGGACCACTGTTTCAGGTCAGTGTCATACTGTAGAGTGGAGCTAACCGTCTGCTACCTACGCCAGCTCGGCCAATGTAGAGATAACGTTCACCACGGGTGGTGCTCCACACAAAATCCAGCAGCCTTTTAGTTTGAATTTAACCATCTGTTTGGCTCATTTCAGCGCTGACTGACCATCACCATTGCAGGTGTTTTACCAAGCTACAATAGCAGACTATAATCAGCTACTCGTGTTTGGCCTGGCTGTGCATCACTCAGAAAACAGCAAATCAGAAGAGTGCGTCTGAGCCTCAGAGCTTGTTTTGTTGGGGCTGACCTTAAATATAGCGTGTAGTTTCCCTTTTTCTTCTTTTTTATCAACCACATCTCACATTTGTTAGTCTCAGCTATTTTTATAATAAACAAACTCAACACATCACAACACAACAACTGAACAGCTCATTTTCTCTTTCTTTCCGTTTTGTATTTCACTCCCCCAGTTTGACCACTTACTTCTCTGACTGTCGTCTCTCGTCTCTCTCCTCTGTTTGTGTATCACTCACTAACGTGAGTTGCAGTCATACCAAACATTCTTTGTGTAAGGCAAATTCTCCAACTTAAAAGGCTGGTAAATGGTACTTTATTGAAGCCAGGTGCACTGTAAAGTACAAATACTTAATGGAAAAAAACATAAAGTTGTAAGAGAAATAAACTGGATGTTAACTGCTGCAGGTACATCATAACAGTAAGAAAATTATTAACTATTTTTATTTATTTTTCAATTAAATCTAGTCACAAGCATTTCCCTTATAATATAAAGTTTCCCTGATTTCTGTTTTCCAATTTTATTATATTTATAATGGGAGTTTTTGGTGACATTTTGTCAGTATACTTTTCCACCAGGCAGTGCAAAGTGGAAAAAAACTGACATTTATGCTGGTCAGGACACAGGTGCAACAAATAATCCTAATGAATGACAGCTGCATTCCACTCAGGTGTGTCAGTGCTAGGGACCCGTTATTGTTCATGCGGGCTCAGTGCGTCTGGCACATTGAAATGCAACAGAGGCAGCGTGAATGATAGTAGTTGCACCTGTGGTCTTCCTGCTTTGACAAGTCAAAACATGCCCTGGAAGAAAGGTCTATAAGTAGTTTGACTATTCCATTCTCTGTGTGAAAGAATAAACACAAACATTTCAATGCGGTCTGACCCGAGTGGGCAGAACATGTTTATGCCCCAATTGCTGGAAGGCAGATCCAGCTCCCAACTCCCTGACCCTGAAGCCATTAACTTTGGTTGATTTGATTGTATAGGAGGTGAGGACATGCTGAAGTGCAGTGTTTCATTACTCTTTAAAGTAATTACATGCTGCACATATAACAGACATGCAGTCCGTTGTTTGAGTTCAAGAGCTCAAACAACCTCAACTGATATCTTCAGCTTAACCAAGATGAGTTTTCAGATTCTGGGTATCATATGGGTGCATCAATATAATGTGTTAAATCCTAATGACTCCCCAACTTGAAGATGTTCATAACGTGTCAGTCTTTTTGTGTGGTGTATGTAAATAGATAAAAGACAGTGATGACGTGCATATTGAGGGCGTGTGCCCCACGACACCAGATGTCAGATTTTATTGGACAAATTTGTCAACCACTGATCACATGGCTCTGTGTTAAGTACAGCCTCTGGCAAGGAGTAAATAAATAATGAAATGCATAATGAAAAAGCAAGTGTCATACTAAACTGCCGTCATTTTCAACATAGCACTCACAAAACAAAGGCCTTGGGAAAACTGTTTTACATGATGAATTATGTTTCAAGTTGAACAAGGAAGAGATACTCGCGACTTTTTGTTGCCCTCCATGTGATCCTGTGAACCTCTGCTAAGGTAGGGGTAAATGGGAAATACGTGTAGCTTTTGAAAATGGACCCCAGGGACGGGCAACTTTGACAAGTTTGGCATTAGTGATGTTGCCATAGACGGAGTCAGACTTGGGGATACTAGAAACACTTTACTGAAGCCTGCAAGTAATTAAGTAGCTGGTTTATAAGCCAGAGGTCTTTCTGAATACATCACTGGTGTCATATACAGCATTCATCAAGCAGAAGAGACTACAGTAACTTACTAATAATCAGTGTTATTATTATTTTTAAATTGAGTTGAGAAAGTCATGCAAAGAACGGCGAACTAAGATCAGATTGAAGTGGTGGTGGAACTGCACTACCTTATATTGAAATGTGTTTCTTATATGTAGTCCTTCTCACTCTGAGATGGATTTTCTTTGTTTTTTCATGTCTGGTTTTGGCTGAACAGACTCCCCTTGAGGTTGCCCAGCAGGCGGTCGATGCTGATGTTCACTGTGTCGGGGTCAGCACTCTTGCCGCAGGACACAAGACCCTGGTCCCAGAGCTCATCAAGGAACTACGGAAGCTCAACAGGCCAGATATTCTTGTCATCTGTGGAGGTGTCATCCCACCACAGGTAACATCTGACTTCCATGATCATCAAATCTCTAAACTGTATTTCTGTTTTCTTTTCCAAAGTAAACTTCTCAATATAACAGTCCAAAGTAATAAAAGATGTTTTGCTTAATTTTCTACTGAATTTAATTTGTGCATTTTAATTTGTTTGAATTCAAAATCCATTCACCAGAGACTGTGCGCACTGTCCATAGAGATTGGTGTAATTCAGCATGCAGGTAGAGCCAGCCTACTTGCCTTTCGCAGCAGGTGTGAGCACCATAGCAGTCATACAGTCTTTGTGTATTTGACAATGTCACTTAAAGGATCTCAGTATGTGTGCAGCATTTTCTTTCAACTAACCAAGATCTGGAGGATTTAATCTTCTAATGATTCTTGTCAGTGTGATTCCACATTCTGTCCTCGTAGTCACGTTGATAATGCCAACACACTGTGCACCTTTAGCTATGCATTATAGAAGCATAAAACATATAGTGGGAAATAATAAAAAATAATAATAACTAGCTATAGTGTGTATAATATCAAACAGTATCTGACCCTGATTTATATGAATAGTGGCCTTCACAAAGAAACCAGCAACAGAGAAATACTGTCACAAATAAAACACATTGTTTAGAATGACATGATAAGTGTGAAGATAATATATAAAATGTCATCTTGCTGTCATATGGATAGAGAACCAATCTCTCATGATGAGGGCGGCTGTGATTCATGTAATTATAATTACCAGACTTTAGGATCTCATTGATCTCATGCTGTGCCGTCTCATTTCTTGTCATCCTGTTCCCGACAGTCTTTGTGATTATCTGCCAAACACATTCATTTTAGTTCAATTATCTATAGTGTAAAAAATAACAATCAGGCAGGGACTGTGCACATCTTCCTTTCCCTATATGATAAAAGCTGAATTCCTCCTTAGCTGCAGTAAGTCTAAACTGTGATCCACCTGTGTTTCTATACAGGACTATGAGTTCCTATACCAGAGTGGTGTGTGTGCAATCTTCGGTCCAGGAACCAGGATCCCACAAGCTGCAGTGGAGGTTATTGACAACATTGAGAAGAGTCTGGAAAACATCCGGCAGGCCATGTGAACTCTTAAGAAAAAACTACAACAAGAGCTGTCTATTCATGCTGTGCCAAGAACAGAGTCACAAGTGCGAGCCAACACTTTTGTACAGAATCTGTTTGACTGGTAGCATGAAGTCGTAAAAAACAAAAACTCCACCCAGAACCACACTGTGTTCACAGCACTTACAGAAGTTAGAATCACTACCAACCTGTGGGGATGTTATGGTTGTATTAACACTGCATTCCCTGTATATCAGATTTGATTTTAACTAGTAATAGGATCCCCAGAGTTTGCAGTAACTTAACAAAGAAACAAAATTAACATCACCAATAAAGAGTGTAGTGTTTTTTGTTTTTTTTTTTCATTGAGGGAATCACTCAAAATCTAAAGAAATACTGTCACACATAAATGTTTCAGATGGGTAAATGGGGATTGAACTATTTCCCTCCTTTGAAACATGCTTGTGTGAGAATTGCATTGGTTGCAGGGAGAGTAATATCACTGTAAATATCTTTGAAATTCTAAAATATAATTGGGAACTGGGACCCTTGGTGAACGCTGTAGACTGTAATGGGATATAATTCAATATTCACGACGGAAATCAGACTATATTAAGACCTTTACCCACACTTAAACAATGGAACATACATTACATTTAATCAAATTGGAGCAGCTTAACAGACACAGTATCATGTGACAGAAATTTGGCTTGAGATGAGCAGAGTATTTTTTGCCATCAGTATAAAACAAAGGTCTATAAACCTTGGAATGTAATGCTTTTATTGTAAGATGTCTTGTGTGTAATTTGCAGTTACCTAGCAGGGCGTGAATAGTGCTAGTGTAGTGCAGATGGATAGACAGAAATTCACATCAAAACAAACCTCTGTGGAACCCTTACCTCTGATTTTTATGTTTATGGATATTATCATATTGACAGTGGCCTTTTCAATAGTTGTTTCGATCTTTCCTCCCTGCATAATGTTTGATTTGACCAGCTTCAGTCGGTGATCACAATTTATGAAGATTTCCGAAATGGTATTTTTCTATGTGTGATTCTGAATCAGAGTTGGTGCTCTTCAGTCTAAATAAAGTATGTGAACTTTGGAAATGTGACTTGCATCAGAAGATTGTGTAACTTTCTACGCCTCCGCCCGGCGACAGCCAGGGCTTGGAGGCATTATGTTTTCAGGTCATCCATCCATCCGTCCCATTCTCGTGAACACGATATCTCAGTAATCTAATCTATTTTAAGGAATTTCTACAAATTTGGCACAAACATTCACTTGGACTCAAGGATAAACTGATTTGATTTTGATGATAAAAAGTCAGGCTATACTTGAATTTGCTTGTCCTTCAGAGAAAAAAATGACCCAAGTTAGCACATGTAAGGATCTGCACTGCCCTACTGCAAAAACTGACCTGACCTCACACTGGCTGAGATGTTTCTAAAACACCACGCTTACCATGATTGATGTGGCGTGCTTATGTGAATGTGACTGTAGCGTATTTAATTTCATTCTCAAACGGATGTCAAGCTTTAGCATCTGAGGTGTTCATACTGCATGCTAACAGAAAGTTCTAGCACGTGGAGTGTATACAGATGTAGGCACTGACGTTTGAAACATTTTTGAAGGATTTAAACACAAACTGACTGACTGCCATCCTTTGTGCCCGGAGCTCTGGCTGTTTTCAAAATGAGAGAACTGAATAAACTCCTTCAGTGTGATTGGGTGATATTACATAATCATGGTGTATTAATTGTCCACCACTATGTTGTATTCAGTCAGTGTTTATTCTCAAACATGATCAATGAAATGTGCACACAAATATGCTCAAGGTTCATAGCTCTACATTCACAAATTTTAAAAATTGTTAAACACTGTCATTTTAATTACAAGTAATTACAAGTTGGAACCAAAAAAAAGCCGTGCTGCAGAACTGAAAAACTGAACAGTATTTTCCCCACAGAGAAAGGGATAAGGAATTGTAGGTGACAATATATCAAGGAAAATAATAAAATAATCTCTGGGTAAAGCAGGGCAACAAAAGATCTGTTAAGCAGAAGCGTGTCTAGTAACATGAACTGATTATAATCAGCTCAATTATAAAAAATAATATGCTGTTGTACTGCGGCTGAGGCGACAGTCGGCAGACACTCATGGGGGATTTCCAGTGAAATTTGAACCATTCTTTTATTAATATCGTGGTGATCTAAAAATCTGCCACGCACAGAGCCCTGACTTTCATTGTTCAGTGTTTACAAAGTTGAAAATAAAAGATTTAAAAGGATACAGATTATTTTTTATCTTTTTTTCATTAACAAATCCCATGAAGGGCCAAAAACAGCAATACTGTTATCTCACTAACAAGTACAGACTTTGTGTTCAAAGTCTGATATCGCTTATTTCTTTGTCTTAGAACTCCATTGTTGTTAACTAGCAACTAGCATTAACATGTTATATCTCATTTGGTGAATTTGTACGGAACACCAACAAGTGTTGTGGTGGATTTTGTTATCTTTGGACAGAGCCGGGCTCGCTTCTTCCCCCCCGTTCACAGTCCTTGTGCTAAAGAGTGGTATAAATCTTCTCAGCTATGTCTTGGCAAGAAAATAAATAAGTTTTCCAATTTTCCAAAATGTCAAACTTTTTTTATTTTTATTTTTTTAAAACACGCCTTTCACATTTGGGTGACAGTCTTCATTACAATGAACTTTAGTCTAATGGCCAAGCGGTACCTACACCACAATACTTATCAGTAGAACAAATTCTGTTTTTGGGTTTGGTCCAAATCCTTTGGTAAAAAAAACAAATAACAATGACAGTCTTAAATATAACAAGTCACATTCCAGTTGAAGCCAACATACAAAAGGGTGCAAATATTTCTCATAATCTTACGAAACACAATTAGATTTATCTACTGTAGCCTCTGTGATATTGTCCTTTTAAAAGAACCCATTAGCCGTACATAGACAATATTTGTTATTGTTGTAAACATATTTTTAGAGGCTGATTTATGAAACATGATCTACTCTCAGCTGCTACTTCATAAAAACATTTAACACATACAGTAATTGGATATTTGTTCCTGAACTGAAATTGTCAGTGAAAATATATATTTTTTTTCAGATTTTGGGTCACAATAAAAGTAATAATTCAAACAAGCAAGTGTCTATCACAGATTGAACTTTTTGAAAAATTACAGTAAATATAATTTTTTTTCTGTGCTCAATTTTTTTTTTTTTTTGTCATATTATGCTGTGCAAGCTTTGGCTTGTATTGTGTTAAAATGCATGATGATGATTTTCTTTAATTCTGTGTGAGTGCAACTTTGCCTCTTTTACATCTTTCTGTATAATTGCATAACCTTGACAAAACTAAAAGCTGCTCACTGTAGTAAATTTTTCAATAACGTGCTTTACTTAACAATGTGTGGGCTACAGTATTTAAGGGGGTTTAGCCATCTGTAAGCACAGATTTAACTCTAATCTATGGCTTAGTTGGCTGAACTTTCACAGCATTTAACATATTGCGCTAACACGCCCTCTCATTCATCCTGACATCACACAAAAGAGACCAGAAACACCCTGCTTGTTTTGTCAGGACAGCAGACAGCAGCTGTACTGGAAAGAATAGGTCTTTTCTACCCTGATAATATTTGTGATACAACACATTATGAGACCACTAATCTTTCCACAGTTTACGGCACAAAAGTCTTTGTTTAGGAGCAACGTCTTTCAACCCAAAGTCACTGTCTTTGACTCCATGATCTCCTGCAAAGTAGACCGTGCTGCTATTGTGGGCTTGATGTCAGCAGTAACCATGTAAATGCTGTTGTCATTGATGCTGTTGGAAACACGGCAGGCATTAAACCCTGAACACATCCCCTGCAGCTGCTTTACCTCCCTTTTGAAGCTCTGGCTGAAGATGTAGTATATCAAAGGATTGTATACAGTGGAGCTCTTCGCAAACATGCATGGCAGGAGACTGACTTCAGGAGGGATGGTTTCACTGTCACGGAAAATAGACCACAGGCTTATCAGGCCATAGGGCGCCCAGCAGCCTATGAAACCGACACTGATCAGGACAGCGATCTGCAAATAGAACAGGAGAGTAGAATCAGTAATGTTTCGACCAAATCTCTGAAAATAAAAACCTGTCTTGAAAATGAGATGGCTTTGGTCCAGCAGTATGACCTCTAGTCACAGCAGCGACACAGCACACTTAAGGATGTCCTCTGTCACGCTTTGTTAGTTTGCATGTAGCTGAAGGTCATGTCTTATAGAAGACACAGACGCATATAAATCCACACTCACTGGGGCTACAATAACTTCATCTACTCTAGACACGCTACACACCTTACACCCTGCTTTTCTTTTCTTTTTTTCATGTAACAGTGTTTACCCAGATAGTCTCTATTAATAAATTCTACCAGTCATCCAATGTTTGACAGATTTTGGGGACTATTACACAGAATCACAATTATTTTTATGAACTTCCTGTTCTTCAGCTGTGTAGCAGGTGATTTTCAAAGCAGACAGGCCTACAGCAGGCATAACAAAACAGCTCACTGTTACAGTTGCCAAGAATGGCCTTGAAAAGTTAGGTTTTAGTCAGTTTCCCCCAGGGGGACCCTGCAGTTGCCCAAAGATTGTAGAGCAGCTCAACTGATAAAAAAAAAATATGGAAATTTGATTAAAACAATATATCCTCACATACTGAGCTAACAACCAGAACACTAACTTATGTGTCATGATTTACAGCGTGTCAAAATTTACCAAGCTAGCAGAGAGGCTAGCTGAAAGCTAAATGTAATGGATAAACTCATTGAAAACGCTGAAAGCACTAATGGTTGACATAGTTAGCTAAACATAATGGATAAATGCGTCGATAGCTTATGTAATGGATAAACTAACTGAAATAGCCAACAGTAATGGATAAATGATTGAAATAATGTCATTGCTAACTTACAGGTATTAAATAAATCATTAAAATAGATAGTGGTTGTACACAAATTGACCAAACCAACCACTGAGTTAAATGGTATAAGAACATGAATAAATATAGCCTAGTTTTACACCATTTCAAATTATCTTATTTGTAACATGAAGGGTACTTGAGTTAATCTCACGGGGCTGTAGCCGTATGTCCACTGCTGACTCCTCACTGCACACCCACAGTGACATGTGATTACTAGTGTGTCACTTTTATTACAAAGGCAGTCACTGTCTGTGTTTTCATGTTTCGCCAAATTTCACAATGCCCTTACCACTGTGCCACTGATGCTGAAATGTCTTCAGGCAACTTACACTGGGAGTCCCCGAACCGATAATAATAGATCTTTGTCATCAGACAGAATCACTTACCACTAACAGCCTCCGATGCAGCTTGATAATATTGGGGATTCGGGAGCTGTTGTTCATTGAGTTTTTGTAGGTGAAATAGAGCTTGATGGTGATGCCGAAGTAGCAGCAGATGATGATGACAGAGGGCATGACGAGGTTTAAGGAGAACATGGAGATGACGAAAGAGAAGCCCTCATGTTTCATCTCTCCCCAGGCAAGTGAGCAGGACAGGCCAAAGGGCTCCGGGCCATACCGGCCCCAGCCCAGTACAGGGAACAGAGCCCAAACCAGAGCGTACAGCCAGATACAGATGCACAGCATCTTCACCTTTTTCCAGCTGATTTTCTCACCTGCAGAAAAAAAAAGGAAAGGTTGGTTGTTTTCTTTTGTTGTTTCAGCATGCTGTACATTATAGACAGGGGGGTCTTTATTAATGCACTTTTTCCCAAAATGACATGTACAATAGTAAGTAATTATGACTGCAAGGATGTCCAAACAATAGAGATTAAACTGTATGTCTGATATAAGACCTGATTGGACAAATGTATCATAAGTCTGAAGAACCGCTCTATTGCATTATATTGCACAGATTCCAGTATATCAGTGACTGTTAGATGTATCTTAACATTCTCAAATAAAATGTTTTTCATGCCTAGACAGGGCAACGACAGCATTTTCAATGCAATTACTTATTTTACGTAAATCACAGAAAATAATTTACAGTTTGTACAACAAAATATGCTTTGGCTGTTTTGGAATATTAATAAAGCTGCTCAGCCCTATAGAAAGCTGTGCACACAACGACAAGGAATTACACAAGGCACTTCAGATCAAGAAAAAAGGTCAGCTAAATTTCATAACCATAAGATCAGTAGCAGCAACTTGCAGACCATGTGACTGCAGACAATATTAGACAAGCAGTAATGACCAGTGAGGGGGAAGATGTCACTTGTTAGCATGATCTAAAAGGCCTACAAGGGTCTCTGGATAAATAAACAAACAGTATGTATTGCACACAAACAATCTGACAAGCAAATGGCTTAAATAGCCTGGGTATATTTACATTGGCGATCCTAGACTGGTGGGCTCCAGGCAAAGACATACAGAAATTGAGAAGATTAAAATCAGACATTACAAAGACAAGGAAGAAACAGCATCTCTTTAAGACTCTCTGGATGTAGTGACCTAATGTAAAAAAAAAAAAAATCAATTTACATTAATACCACCCATTCACCATGTCTTTTGAATCTGTTGGAAAGTTAAAAAAAAAAAGGTCTACCATACTACAACAGGTCTGTTTGTTTTACCAATATCCTGAAGGCCACATGGACTTTCTGCCTTAACACGAATTACTAAACTATGTAGTGGCAATGGTGATGAGATGTACATGGATTTTTCATATGAGGACATCCAGAGGTTTTTCCTGAGGAGTTGTCTTGCTTTTCACAATGCGTTATTGTAGTCTCTCCCTAGAGCCCTGTGTTGATGGGAGCCTCATCCTTGAGGCATTTGTCTTAAGCTCTCTCTGCTACCATTTTAGTTCTCGTATGATTATATAGTGTACATTAACTATTACTATGTGAGCTGAGTCTCACAGACATGATCATGTAAACCAGCCCGTCTGATGGTTTTTGTATGCACTGTATATGCAGAAATCTACTACTCTGTTGTCTCATAGCATTTAAAGGTTTTACATGGTCTGTAAGTTGTGCTGATGATAGTTTTATATATGAAACATTCACTTTTTTCATTGCCAGTGTGTGGACCTTTTCCCTCCTCGCGATGGGACTGTTCAACTTGGCTACACCCGCCTAACACCACTTCTTGGTAAGCCTTTAGTCAAGCGCCTTAACCTTTCCCATGCTTTGTTTGCTGACAAATGTCCTGCCTGTTTCCTGTCGCTCTGTTTACCTCAGACACAGAGCTGCCATTGTGTTCTTCAGTTGAAAAAATGTTTACCCTGTCAGTACAGTGTATTCTTACGTACAGTATTTTCAGAAGGGTCAGAGCGGGGGATTTGTGAGAACCTAGCTGGCAATACAGCTGAATTGTTAATCAAACAGGAATAACCCATACAATGAGACAGCTTAGTCCTCCACACAAAGTGACCACCTGCAGCATCTAAATGTTACTACCACACTCATGTAGCAGTCGTATAAAAATCCATAAAAACCTGTGCAGCAAGTATAAAAAACGACAAATTGTGGTTTTCCAGGGGTTTACATTGTGCCGGACTCCTTCTTTGGGAAGGGGCAGCAACTTCATCAGTTCTCTAGTGCACCATGATTTAATGACCAAATGTTTGCAGCTGTCTTGTCTTCATCAGTATGCATTAAATCACCTTTGCACAGAGCCAGGCTCGCTGTTTATTAACTATTGCTTTTAACATAACAGAATCATAAAAGACAGAACTTCTGATGACCAGGTAGAAAATGAATCATTCAGAGATGCAGCTGACAGCCATGAGTCCCTCAGGTGCTGATCAAACAAGGCTCACAGTAAAACCATGTTTAATAAAAAAAATATAAAACTCTCACGTTGGCATGTCCTCCAACCTCTACTTAAAAGCTGTTGAAAATGAATATGAAGAACGTAGAAGCAAGTGCCAGTTGGTGACTTGCATACAAAGTAGGTTTGTTATTTTTCCCTTATTGAATGCAGCTATTGAAAACGTCTCTGAACTGTTTTTTACTTATATCCATAGATTTGTGTTACTATGAGGCATCAAGTTTGGCATGGCAGAGTTAAGATTAAAAGCTAAAAGGGTTCATTACCCTCCTTTGTTGTTTTTCAGAGCACAGAGGTTAGAAGTAGCTGCATAAAATTTTCATTGTAATCATGCTTACCATGATACATATTAGAATACCAGGTAGTCTTTTAATCTGTGTTCAGGGAACAAAATTACTCACTGGGAGATTGCAGATTGAGGGAAACTACGAAGCGCACTACGGCCAAAATAGTCAGGTTCATGATGCTGGCGACACCGAAGAAGAATCCTGCTAGTCCGTAATAAAGACAGGTGACATCACCCCCGAGCCAGTGGTGGCTCCAGGCTGAGGCCACTGCCAGGGGGTACATGGTGACAGCTGCTCCCAGGTCTGTCACTGCCAGGTTCACACTCAGCAGCTCTGGTGGTTTCATCCTTGATGACTTTTTGAAAGCCATGATTAGGACCAGGAGGTTTCCAATAATGGAGAGCACAGCTGAGGCAAGACATGAGAGAGAGAACAGGGAGGAAAAGAAGGATACAAATTACCAAACACAAAATGATACAACTCCAGATTATAAATGCCAGTTACACTGATACAGACCGGACTGGGTTTCTATGTTTTACCCTGTACAGTTACAACATCATTACTCCTGCCTTTTGTAACAGACCGCTCACATACCAGGGACAGGAGTTGGGGGAAGGGGGACACTCCTCAATTTATATCCAAAACAAATTAAAGAGTGTCCCCCTTCCCCCAACTGCATGTATCCAAAATAAAACAGCATCTGCTCCTACTGGACCGACTGACAGGGGAAACACAGAGTGAATACACATTAACCAAACCCAAACATAATCATCAGGGGTGTAAAGAAGGCACAGATCAGTCAGGTGTGTAATGTGAGGATTACATAGCAAAAGTGTAAAACAAACACAGGGTTGGTTGTCAAGGAGCTGAGAGAAGGAACAACTGGTATCGCTGTCATTTTGTAGTTTATAGAACTGATATTATGTGTTTGACTAATGACCCACAACTCCACTCAGTAGCAGCCTGCAAAAATTAGACTCTATGCTGAAGTCCTAAAATTAAATGACCACCCACCCAACAATAAAATAGAACATCTTATACTGGATTACTTTCAAATTTTGGGACTTTATATACTTGCTTTCTTGTTGAGAGTTAGAGGAGAAGACACTACTACTACTACTACTACTACTACTACTACTACTACTAGGCTACTTAAATACAGTATTGAGGTACTTGTACTTTACTTAGTATTTCTATTTTTGGCTATTTAATACTTGTACTCCACTGCAATTCGAATATTGTACTTTTTAGTTCACTATATCAATTTGATAACATAACATAACAAATAAATGATGATGTGTCATTATAAAATGATGTACATGCGCATCAATAATTATAAAAAATATAATATTGGCTCCATTATTCTGCAAACAGACCATTCTGCATAATGTGTGCTTTTACTTTTACTGCTTTAAATATATTTTTAATGCTAATGCTTTTGATCTCCCATCCAGTCTTTAGCTCATTCCTTCAGTCGACCCCCTTCAGCATCAAAGGAAGCCTCTTAAGAGGGAAGAATACCAGAAAGCCATTAGCACACACTCAAAGCAGTGCTCAGCTTCAGCATCTAACAAGACTGGCTGAGGAAGACAGTGTCTCATTGTGTGCTACCTAGAACATGGACATCCTCTCTTCTGTTGGTTGGAACAGGAAACCAATAAATGGCCAGCACTGCCACAACTGTAGCTCTCATAGTGTGCACTTGACCTTGTCCAACCAACCTACAGAAAGCTTACTGTTGCATAAAGGTAAGATGGCACAGAGGACGTCATCTCACAGTTTGATGTGAGATGAGGTGTCCAGAGCGAGACAGTGAGATGGAAATACAGATAATCTCATTTCGCCAGCTCTCATGTCTGACTCTGTGAGGAAAGCACAGAACGAATCGAACTCCACTGTTACCTCTTTAAATTTTCATAGGTACTATCACCTCAGTTCACATGACCATCATATATGAAGCATAACCCTGGGGATTTCCACTTCCACTCAGAGAGTCGGTCTGTCTAAACGAGAAGCTTCATATGTGACTGAACATTTGCCTTCCCATCGGCTTTGTTAGCAGGCAGCAGGTCTCAAAAGCTGAATATAATTTTTCAATATAGACTTGGCTTTCAAAAGTGGACATTTAAATTTTTCTTCCAACAACCTTTCTCCAAGAACTAAACCCACTGAGGTCCAATACTTTTCTGACCCCTCCAGCAAAGCAGGACAAAAATCTGTGCAAAGTACAATGCCTCTGAAACAGAACCCTTTTATTCAAGTATATATAGCTTCACATTTTGGCTAAGTGTTTTAAAGTTCATATGCTTCTCAGCAGTGCTTAGAAAGCCTCCTGGCCCTGCCAAAAAAGAACAAACTGAAGTAACATTCAGTGCATTTAGACTAATTATGGAAATCCGCAAAGTGTTTGAAGTGAAAAGATCCTTTTGGCTGAAATCTGGGTTCTAACAATAGATGAATAGATTTCAGATGGTGGAGAACATAAAACACAAGCGTCAAACCATTGACCATTGGATAGTTTGAGGCAGAACTAGCTCAGCTCCAGTGTGCAGAGTTGAGGGGAATTTCTGAGCATCTTGATCTCTACGGCACTGTCCTGTTCCCGTATCTCAGCCTCTTTAACAAGATAACTGATCTTGTTAAACCTTCCTGTCAAACCAGAACAAGAGGATCCTGTTCCTGCAGGTAGAAGTGCTTGTTGTCAAACTGCCATTTCATTTAGACAAGCTTTTAATGTGCTTTTAATTTCTTTGTATCTTAATGTCAGTAGCACCATCTTTGTGTCACTATTTGGAAGGTTTATTATATAGCACTTAGAAACTTTCAACAGCTGCTCTTTTATGTAGCAATGAAACAAGTCTTTCCCTGGGAACAGACCAAAATCTTCATCTGATGCTCAAAGAAGAACCAGGAGACACATTTATATTTACAGATGACTCAACCCAGTTTAAATGTGATAAAATCTGATTAGCAAATAAAACAAAATTTTAAAGGTGACCATAACACTGAGACAGACTCTTTTTCCTTTAACCACCATCCAACTCACTTACTGCACAAAAAACAAAATATGAATGAACGGGTCCACTTCGAGTGAACTTCACTGCTTAGCCTATGAAAATCTCATTTTTTACCACTTGGTTTAAGGTTAGGAGCAGAAAGGAGAGACTCGCTACTGTGAGTGCACAGTAGTAATTTAACAAACATTAACCGTCCCTAACAGCACGTACTCAGGAACAGGAAACGAGGCAGAGCGCACCCAGAAAACCAAAGTAACTTTATGTAAATGAAATATAATCATGAGGTGTGCAAAGAGGCCACTACAGAGGGAATTATTTTGACCACGATAATCGTGTAGCGAAAATCTGATGTGGTGAGAGCTCTAGTTCAAATAAAGTAAAGCATGAATGATCCTGGGAACCTTGCATTTCAAGAAAATGAGAAATAAGGTTAACTTAGCTTCTTCATTATGCCCGACCTCTGTGTAATTTGTGCAAACAATGTGAGAGGAGGTTTGCCTCACCCTAATGACCCGGATCAGAGCAGTCATCTCTGCACTGACATCCCACTCTACGCTAATGAGAGAGTAAGCACTATACATTGATTCTGTGAGGGTAGAGAAGTGAAAAGAGATGACATATGTAACGATTGTAACCCCCTCACCCCACCCCCATCCCCAAAGGTGGTTGAAAAAGCTCGAGCTCATTACAAGAAATACATTAGGTTATTACAGTCTCACCATGACACTGGGATTCTGCACCTGTGGATTTTTTATTTTTATTTTTAGCATTTTGGTATATACCTGAGTTTTAATGATTTTTTTTAACAAGTTCATATCATCACTGAGCAGATTCTGTCTATGTATTACGTATGGTATTATTTTAAAGAAAAATAATTTACTTGGGTATTACTTGAAACCCCCATTTCCAATTTACAGTGACCTCATGATGAGCCTGTAATCCTCGATACCAGTGTCCTTGAATAAAAATGAGGTAATTATTCCCAAAAGACTCTCACTAGCAAAGTCCTGACAAGGAATGAAATAACTAATATAGTACATGCCTTAGAAATCAGTCAATAATATGAAATATTAAGACCATATATGAAAACATTTGGATGTGACAGCATGACGTTGCTCGAATAAAACACAGTATGATTTATCTTCTTAGCACAGAATTCCCTCATTCCTTTTTTATGTTGCTGTTATTATCTTATCATATCTCTCACATTCATAATGACACATAAACACATACCACCACAGTTCCACCACATTCATCACATAGCAACCCTACTGTTTTTTTTTTCAAAAGAAAAAAAAAACAACTATATCTCTAAAAATATCTTCTCTAGATGTCATGTAACACTTCCGTCCTGTTGCATCTGTGTCTTCAAATTCAATCCTCTTATTGATTGTTTAAGTTACAGCCTCTGTCTCATGTCATCTCCGATGTTATGTCATATTGCACCAAAAAAAAAAAAAAAAAAAAAGAGGAGGTGAGTTCTTCACCAACTGTTATAAAATCATGTTTGTGTTAGTGGCATAGTCAAAGTTGACTCAACTGATATCTGATATCTACATTTCCAAACAACATCCAGTGTATTCATTATAGTGTTAGATACATTACAAAAGTAGAATCAGCCTCATAGTTCTCCTAGTGGATAACAGAGCAGGGATTAATTACAGATGTGAGGTGAATGTCATTACTCAACCAACCTGCTCCCTTTGTCCACTGGAAGAAAAAAATGACTTCACAATGTGAAAATCTTATCACATGATGGATTATGGACTTTTATTGCACTGCCCCAGGATCATACATCAGAGCCAGCTGTCTGTCTGTTTGTTAACCTCTCTATGCACATTATGTTTGGCCAAAGCATCCATCTGTATCACTCTGTCTTTTGGTTGTTCTGTAGATTCATTGCATCTTCACAAAGTTATAGACATATCTCATGTGTGAAATAGCCTGAGAATGGCTGCAGTGTCAATCATCTGAGCTGATGACTAGTGGGTCTTAGTGGCTGTGTCAGATGAGAGCTCTCCTGTGGAGAGAGGATGGAAGCAGTTGGGAAGCTGAGGGAATCATTGCTGTGTAAGTAGCTGTGAAAGCAAGCTTAAGCCTGGATTTACTGCCAGGTAATATTGCAATGAATGTGGCATACAAACATGTTACAGTTACAATACTTCACAGCATTTAAGTCCATATCAGCACACCACATTAAGGGTTTCAATGTATCCTTTCATAACAATCTTAATTAAAAACCTTGAAATTCAGTGGTTATAGTTATGGGGAGGCTGTTGTGTGACACATTTCTGTCCACAAAACGTGGCAAATACAAACAAATTATCTCAGAATTTTAAGGAACGTTTTCATGAAAAAAAACCCTCCTTTGTTCTGATGAATTAGCGAGATTATTATCTCAGTTATGACAAAAGTTTTAATGGAAAACAATCTCAAACAATTTGTACCCATGTCTTTGTGTACGCCATAAAGGAGAAGTCTATTATTATTATTTATGAGTAAATTCTTGGTTTAATATAGCTACATCAGTGATAGAGAACTGATGTGCGTAAAATCGGATCCTGAAATAGTAGAATTTATTGCTTTTTTAATTCTGTTTTCACGTCTCCATCTACAGGGCAGCAATTCATGCTTGTTAATTTATTTCAGTTCACGTGCTGCGTTCAACTTACCTACAACCAGCAGGTAACAACCTGCGCCGATATCCACAGCTGGTGATAAAGTGGAGGCGTAGATATCCATTGCAACTGAGATCCCTAAGCGGAATAACAAAGAATAAGTGACCCGTCTTCATGGGATGGAGGAAAAGTCAATATGTGATGCGCACGGTTGTCAGATCCATCTGTTCTCGAGTGTGGAAAAGACGTAAGCGGTCCTCGGGTCCTCTGCTCCAGCTGAAAGCATGTAGCCCGTGTATGGTTCGTCGTCAGGGTGACCATGCATAAGGGCTGGGCCACTATCCAGCGTGTGCTCTCCGGGTGTGTAACTGCATCTAAGTGAGCTTAAAGAAGAGAGCCCTCCTGAACCATGGGCACACTACACTCTAGAAACACCAGTCACAATGTAATCACTTCATAGGCTACATCACATTAAAAACATTACAACATTAATAAGTTCAGTCAAACAATGTTTTTGTAATAATCTGCTGCTAACTCATGGTTTCGCGCAGTATAATAGTGCTATTTAATGCATGCTGTGTGATCTTCTCCAGTGCCAGAGGGCAACTGCTACAGTGAAGCTCCTTCCTCATTAAGTAAAGGCTGAGGCTGAGCAAAGGTTGATAATCTTTAAATCTTTGAGCTTATTTACAGATTCTGTGTTTGGGGGAAATTACTAATTCATGCACTCAGTATAGTCATTTCTCTCCTTCCTATTAGTTTCATGTTTAGTATTTCTGTTCTGTGTTTATTTTCCTGATTTATTACTTAGTGTCATTTTAGTTAGTTTGTGGGCATGCATATACGTTCAGAAAGTATATCCCTTCACATTGTGTTATGTAGCAGCTAAAATTGTTTAAATTCTTTTATTCCTTCATCAATCAACACTCAATGCCCCATAATAAAAAACGAAAACAGAATTTTAGACAATTTTGCAAATTTATTAAAAAGTATAAACTGAAATATCACATTGATATAGGCAGTATTCAGATCCATTACTCAGTACTTTGTTGAAATACCTTTCTATTTGTTTAGTTCCTGTCAGTATTTTGGATCAACTGGGGAAGCTTACTTAAGTTTTCTGTTATGTGGCATTAAAGGACATATTTCAATCAAAGTTAACTCTGAGATTCCTTGCAGTGGTGCTGAGGGTCATGGTAATGTCATCTGGTTTAACTATATCATTAGATTATGTATGTTTCTGAGGTGCTTGGGTCCAAGTACAATAACTGCATTTTGTCTGAGAGAATTGCTGGTCACCCTGGTCTTTATGTTTCTGAGGCATGCTTGAAGTTTACCCGACTGATTAGTTTTATCAGGCTTCAGGTACAATAGCATAGCGTCTCCATAACATTGGATGCTTATGGCATGTTTCCTAATAATACTACCTGGGGGAAGCATATTTGAGGTGAATAGTACTGGTCCAAGCACAGAACCTTGTGGAACTCCGTGTCTAACTTTTGCGTGCATGGAGGATTTTTCATTAAGATTAAACCAATTAAGTGCAGTTCCTTTAATGACAATTAAATGTTCCAGTGTCTGTGAGAGGATGTGATGGTCATTGGTTTCAAATGTCACATGAAGATCTAACAAGACAAGTAAAGAGACAAGGTCTTTGTCCAATGCAATTAGGTCATTTGTAAATTTCAGCAGCCATGTCTCTCCGTCTGTGCTAAGATGCACTCTAAATCCTGACTGAAAATAGATAAATTATTGTCATGTATGAAGTCACACAACCTAGAGAGGAAGGGTAGAGTTAGTAGGTTTGTAGTTGACCAACACACCTGAATCAAGAATAGGCTTTTTAGGAAGATGTTTGATTAAAGCTACTTTAAAGGACTGTGGTACATAGCCTGTTAATAAAGACAGACTGACTGTAAAACTTCCTTAAGCAGCCTAGTTGGGAATGGATTTAATAGACAAGTTGATGGTTTAAATGAAGAAATCATTGAGGTTAGTTGGTGGGAGTTAGGAGAAAAACTGTATAAATATATCTCAGGTTTTTCAGCCGACTGAATGATAGAGTTGAGTGATCGTAGTTCCACCACTGATCAGCCGAATGCCGTGTGACTGAGTTGGAGTTTCCCCATTGGCTGTTGCTCTTACAAAGGGATTTAGTGCAAAGAGGTTCTATTGTGGGGATGTTTACAGCCTGTAGCGCATTTGTCACTAGAGTTACAGACAAAAAAAATCTGGCTAAAAGTCTAGCTACAAATCTAGCGACATATCTAGCAACCTTTTGGACAGAACTTGGTACTTATAAGAGAGTCACCTGTTATGCCTGTTTTCACGTCTTCTTTGTTCAGTAAGTGGCAGTACAGTATTTCCTGAAAAACTGACGAAAGTAAGAAAAAAAATTGTCTATCTTGCAATGTTTAGGAGAGTGATAAAACAGACAGACAGACAGACAGACAGACAGACAGACAGACAGACAGACAGACAGACAGACAGACAGACAGACAGACAGACAGACAGACAGACAGACAGACAGACAGACAGACAGACAGACAGACAGACAGACAGACAGACAGACAGACAGACAGACAGACAGACAGACAGACAGACAGACAGACAGACAGACAGACAGACAGACAGACATCCCCACAAACCTGTCTCTGAGGCTCTGCAGGCAGTTCCTTCTGCTTGGCTTGGTTTTTGCTCTGATATGCATTGTCAGCTGTGAGACCTTATATGGACAGGTGCGTGTCTTTCCAAATCATGTTCAATCAGATGAATTTAACACAGGTGGACTCCAGTGTGTAGGTGTAGAAACATCTCAAAGATGTCCAAAATTCTGTTTTTGCTTTTCTCATTATGGAAAAACGGAAATTTCACTATAGAATAAGGCTGCAATATAACAAAGTCTCCACACCTGCGGAACTTAAGCCTTTATTTGTTGGTGCCTTTTACCTGATTGGCTTTTGCCCCATGCATTATTCCTAGTGTCCCTGTGCTACATATAGCTACCACTGACAGCACTGAGGTCATGGTCATGGTCACGGTTATGTTCATCTGTTGCTTCTGGAGACACAGTCTTTTGACTGACAATTACAATCAATCAAAGTAAAATAATAACATAAAGAAAGAATGTTTCTGTGCCAAATCTCTTGAAGATTGAGAGAATGATTGAATTCTTCTCTTTGAGCTGTTTTTTTTCTTTTCAGGCTCTGCATCATTGTCTGCACTGGCCCACAATTCCATTGTGGAAACTCAGTGACCCACACTGCCAGACAACCTGTTGGAAATGACATCTGTGATTAACAGCCAGTGGCAGGACAGAGCGCAGATGTAATATTTTACAGTACAGTTTTAAATGGCTTTTCTGTGGCAAGAGTACAAAGCAATTTGCAAAGAGTTAGTAAATGTTTTTTCTGTGACGAGTATTGGGATGTGACAGGTGTTGATTAGAGTGTTGTTTGTCAGACAAAAAGCTGATATATCCAGGGGGCAAGGTGTTCAAAATTGTGTTAAAGCACTGATTTAACTTTGATGGAACACTGTGGCCTTTTCTGACAAGAGGTGTCATCTAAATGCATGAAAACTGTGAACATATATAGGTGCACCTTGGTGGGACCTTCAGGTTGCAAATATTTTCAAAACTCAAAACACAATACTGCATATACAGCTTTGTTTTGCTTGTCTGAGGAAAATAAAATAAAAAATAATTGGGAAAAATAACACAGTGTGACGCAAACAACATCAGTATTGTTTAGGCGTGAGAACCTGACCACCAGGCTGAGGCATTAAAGACACCCTGTTCAGTTTTCACTGTAAATAAATGCAGTGTTGTTTACATTCAGTGTTTCTCAAATGCGCACTGTATTTGTCCTTAAGGCCTATTTTGAATGCATTCCTCTGATAAAACAAGTACATTGTGTTGGAGGACTCAAGTGTATGACTCTGCAGACTGTTCAGTATGATATCAAAAGTCTGTACTCAGGATAAAGAGATAAATACACTCTGTAAAGGCAGACAGTTGCCTTAGGTTAAGATGAAGTCAAATACACGAGCAGAAATCTAGAAATCCAGGAACACTAAACATGAGGAAAATGCGGGAACACTTGACTCAAGCAATTAAATATGAAGAACTGGCAGGGAGACTGAATACATAAGGAGGCAGGGATAATGAGACACAGGTGAAACACATCAGGGTGGTGCAGATAATCACAGAAGTGGGAAACACAGAAGGGAAGAAGGGATCGGAAACAAAAGGAGAGGAGAACAATACAAAATAAGAAAACAGGACGTAAAGCAACAAAACTGTGAAACCAAGAAAACATAACCTAAGACGCTGGACGAGACAGGACATCCTCATCTCGTATATATAAACTCTTTTCTGACTATGTTGCAACTTGCATTGTTTACGTGGTGGCAGTCTTTTTCATCTCCTTTCTTTCTGGTTCACTGGGTCAGAGGCAAGAATGAAAAATCATCACAGAGCTTTTCAGTGTCATGTTTTCGGCGACAACATGCCAGTGTTACATTTACATCTTGTTGTGCTGTCCCCAGGTGGCCAAAAAAATCTCTTAGTGCAGGTTTAAGAATCACCTGTTGCAGTAAAGTTAATATAAAGCTGATATGTATACACAGACACACACACACACACACACACACACACACACACACACACACACACACATAAATATACACATATTACACACATATTAGCGTGTGATACTTGCAGTGAAAGAAGAGGAGGCATGTAGGCATGTAATGTGTTTTTGGGTGGGGCTATGTTCCTACCGCTGTGCCAATTTCCTATGACTGCTTTGTGTTTGAGGTTATGAGGTACATCAGTTATGTATAGCAAATTCTACTGAAAGAGACTAACAATCTCATTATTGATGATCTAATTTCACTAATTGACTGGCACCAAAATCTTAGCGTGAAAGTCACTCTTTGTCCCTTTGAGAGATCAAAGGAGCTGTTAGAATAGGATTGTTTGAACTCAGCATTTTCTTTTTCTTTCTTTTTTTCATTATTTCTTTTCAGCCTTTCTGTCTTTGATTAGACAGCGATGGTAGAGGATGACAGGAAAAGCAAGTGAGAGAGGGGATGACATGCATGTAAGGATTCAGCCTTTGA